CGTATTTATCTATTTCATACCCTTGATTGTGAAAAAGATCCTAACATGATAATTTTAATAAGCTAGGTTCTGAATGTAAATAATCTAAATTGTGAAATAAATTCGGTCATACAGAAAATATTTAATAGTACTGTTTCAAAATATAAATTCTATTCTAAAAACGTTACTTCGATTGTAGATTTTACTTATCTTAAACACATGTTATGTAGATCAATGGATTTTGATGCGAGAACGAACCGTATTCATAATGTATTAATAATATATGTACACAGGGTGCTTGGCTGAACTAAAAAGTATAACTATTTTTTTGTTTATAGAAAATATAACACTCTTCACGTATTTTTTGGACTACATTTTACGAATAAATATATTGTAGCAAAACGCTCTGTGTACAGAATCAAATTTTATTGTGTTTCTTAAGTGTTTGTATGTCGTTGCTTTAACGGTACTAGTTTAAGTTATTTAAGTATGTGTTTGGTGTTAGGCGGCCACGGCCGGTCCATGTCGCTTAATAGTTTAAATTGTGTAGCTCACTTTGTTCCTCACGCTTCAATAAAACAATACAGTGGTACCTTTGTTTCATTTTTAACCTTATTCTTGAATTATAAAGATAGAAAAGTAATTTGATCATTGTGAAGTGATTCTGTGTTTGAAGGATAGGAATAGCTTCCGCCACAGGCTGTTTTTGTACTTAAATTGATTTATGATCCAGTGTACACTATACACATTGATGGAACCCGAACGGCCCTCGAAGTGAGGTTCTAGCCAGTGGCGTAATTATACAATCTGGGGCCCGTGGCAAATTCTTTTGATAGGGGCTTAGGCCCCCCCTATCAGTAAAAATCGTCACGTTGTATACAGTTAATTTTATTAAACTTCGAGATTTTCACTAATGGCCATAGGCCTTCTCTCTTAGGCGAGAGGGAATGTTCTGTAGTCCCCACGCTAGCCCAATGCGTATGGGGAACTCCACATTCATCCATAGAACATAATATCTCTAGGGCAGGGGCCTTCATGGGTCCCCCGCCCGTTGCATTTTGCCAGCCCTGCCAACCCTTTGTTACGCTACTGGTTCTAGCCAACGGTGATATTATAAAAATATTATATTGTACAATGTTTTGCTATCGAATTAAGCAATTGTAGCGATAATTTAAAAAATACGGCTTTACACTATAGGAAGGGATAAATTAAAACAAAAATCGTCAAATTTACAATTTTACTATTGGATACAGTTTACATAATCAACAAGTAATAAATAACTAGTTATCAACCACTAACTAACATTATTGTGGTTATAAGTATACATTTCATTACGACACACAAACCATACTCCGCCATGAAATGTACGAATTGGCAAATAATACGATTCCCTAGTATTAAGAAAAATTAAATAAATATACGTCTTACATATTCTCACGTTACAATTGTGAAGCTGTTTCAAGGACCAGAAATAAATTCATATTATATTCGTTGATCTGAAAAATTTACGACGATTTATTACGAGATGTGAATTACCAAATTTTAAAAATTCAAACATTTTATTTATTTCTTATGTCACAAACAAAAAAACTAGTTACACTTATCAAAATGATTTTCGTAATTTCGTTTTGGATTTGACATAAGAATCTTTGCCATAAAATCTGAGAATACACACCGGCTTATAAAGTAAACAGTTCTCAGGTTCAAATTCTTTAAAATTAATTTAATTTCCTTTCAATTACGGTTTATAGTGAATGAGTGTCATAAAATTGAGCTAAAACTTTTACATAATTCATACATTGGTCACTTCCATATAATGATAATACCAATCTACACATATATTGTCGATATAAATGACCGTTTTACAATTTGTAATTACTATATATTAAAAATAATTCGGTTCCAAATAGTAACTCCTGATCCACGGCCATATAAAGCCAAAACCATACAGTTTACACAGAATGTACCAAACATATTTAAAAAAAAATTCTCAAAAATATTAAATTTTGAATAATAAGCCAAGTCATGTTTCAAGTAACAAAAAATCAAAATGTCAATATTTTTTATTATTCATATATTAATTAATATACCGGTTTGGACACCTGTATAATAACAATATCCAATTATAATTTCTTCTAATGCATGTGAAATCGATTTCGTCTCAGAGATTTCTTAAGCAATCTAGAAATTGTAGAAATGTTATATTTGGAACCGAATCTCGGATCTGTTTGCGTTGAGGTAAAATTCATAATTGTCTGAAATATTTGGACGTACGTATCTATAACTAATGGTATATTGAGTATTTACATGGGTTACATACATCAAACACGGGGTCACAACACGGGAGGTACATACGAAGATTAAACGAGCGATGGAAGGACAATGGTTGAGATTTTAGACCTTCTTGCAATGATCTAGAGTTCATTTTTGTCTAAAAATAAAAACACGCCTAGTTCAGTCTTTGAGCAATTACTCTAAATTGACTAAATACGGCCGTCACATACACAACGTATTTACAATTCGACTGAAAAATTTCGCCCGGTAAGTATTCATTTTCATACTTAATTGAACAGGATTCAATTCACAAAAACCATCTCAAGCATGCAAAGAATTATTCACAAAATGCAAGGTTAATTCTACGTGAATTCGAAGCGTTAAAGTTGCATAAATATTAATTGACTGATAAATAGTGCCATTAAGCATTCTGAATTGACTAAAATCGTTCGAAGAAATATTTTGTACATCTATTATATCTAAAACAAATAACAATACTATAGAGGCGTAACGCGTTAACTTGTGTCTAATATCAGCGACACTAAAATACACACAATTTTTTTTATAAATGGCGCTTAATGACGATTATATGCGTTTTACAAATGAGTGAAATAAATATGGAATATTTTTTTCGGAGACCATCTTTATAGTATTGTTATTATATTAAAACCAATGTATAGCCTCTCAACAATCTAAAAACTTAACTTTTATGGTTTAGCCAATATAGAAGTTTTAACAAATCTATAAAATAAGATTTAAGATAAATATATTTTGCCTAATTTAATGATATGATAGCGCAAAGTTTACTACGCAATAATTTTAAATGCATCTTTCTCGGGTACAAAAAATAAATACATAGATTTTGCTTTTAAAGATCGTGATCAAAAATATTTGTGACTAAAACAAATTTACTGTAGCACAATATTACACTAGTAAAAATAGCCTCTATAAAACGAATCGTTGTCCATAAAGCCTAGTGCTTCTAATATTTAAGAGCGCATCAACGCATATATATTTTACTAATAAATTGTATAATTATATTCTATCTAATTTGATAAACGCTAAGTGGAAAAAATATTCGATGATATAGCGAGAAAAATAATACTGTTCATAAATGCGAAGCTTAATACTACAACGGGATATACCCTTCAGACAATACCTGGAGAAGAGAATGTAAAACGACTGACACAATAATGATCTGTAATTGGACGTAATATTATGACGCATTACGTCGCGTGTTGGTCTGGACCAATCACAATCGTTCGAAAGGTGCCATCGTTTCGTCATACGTTCTCCTTCAGTTTATATCCGTATTTTTATCTTACGAATGTTTAATTGTCAAACCTTGTGATGGAAGTTTAATACTTATAAAAGAAAGAGTACCTCAATATTAAAGTGCAAGTATAGTTTCCCGCAAAGAAGTTGGCAGTTGACAATGAGACGCGCAAAACTAATTTGAGATATTATTGATATAACTTAGCGCAAAGAAGCACGAGTCCCAACAAAGTTCAGTCATAAAGTCTGAGTATTCTTAAGTTATTTAAATAATCTAAGTTATATATTATAATTAAATATCAAATTCAACAATTTTAGAATAACATTAGAAACAACCGCTTTATAACTTAAGTTATAAGTTTAGAATTTTTAACAGTATTCGTTTCACGTAAAGAGGAAGACAGGAAATGAGATTTTAATGACATTTCGTGTTATGTTGCAATCAACTTTAAACACGCTCAAATATGACCGCCAAAATTTACAACAAAAATAGCCTAAGCAAATCTTATAGGGAATAGAGGTAAAAATACAAATTTACTTAACTTTTTATACTTCTTACAAACTCAGTAATGTCAAGATTTTTATTTCTCTTTGCAACGCTATAAATCTACCATGACATTAACATGACATTGAACGCACCTCGTAATGTATTTGCATGCAATATTCTTACAGCACTTACTTACCAACCTAACAAAAATATTTCAATTAAATATGAAAAATATTGTTAAAATTAGATTTGTTTTTATTTTTTGCGCATTTTACAAGCAATTCAACCAGGCGTCTGATACACTGTCAAATTCATGGTAGAGTATCCATAGCCAATTAGAAAGTATTTGGCCTTATTTGCAAAGGGAAAGAGTAAAGATATTGGTTAATTTCATTGTCTCGAACAACAACAACTCGAACTTTAAAAACATATACTATTTGAGATTCGTTTTTATATTTTTCACGAGCAATTACCGTTTTTATGTTTATAACATTGTTATTGTTACTATGTCATTATTATTTCGAATTCAAATAATGAAGATATTACATTTAAATGACAAATCGATATCAAATTATTGTCAAATGTCAATATTCCGAATCGATATTATTTCCTATATAAAATGTTCTTATTAAATTCTTATTGTTTCTAGCAATTTTACGATTGCAGTTATGAAAGTAATATTTTAACAGTCAAACCGGTTAATTTGTATGAAAAAAGTGACATTTAGAATAGTGAAGAAAAGTTTAAAGTGCCTTCGAAAAAATCGAAGGTTTACAATTTCATGTTTTTTTATATAATTTACGCAGTTTTTAGGGCTCGAGGAACACCAAGCATTGCCCACTAATACGTACGTACTGCGCACGAACGAACACGTATTTTTACGTTTAATGTAAGACACGCGACGCTGTGACAGGGCAGAACTTTTCCTTTTCAACTTTTTTTTGCCTGATATCAAGGTCTAGGCTATATTATTTGAGTAAGTTTTTTAGTTAGAGTGTTGTATGGAAGCGAGAAAGGCGGGGTCAACGGAAGCCACCTTCGCCGTTAAGAACGCGTGCATACAGAATAGAAGACTTTGAAGGATCTGGCATTCTAGTTCCTGAAAAAATAAATAAAGCCGTAAATTCCTTCATCTTCATCAACTTGCCTTAAACATAATTTTTTTTAACAAAAAGTCAAAACTCACCTTAGTTTCAATGACTTTTGTTTCGGTGTCTTGGAAATGTAACTTTAATTTAGATTTTCCGTCATCACTAGAGCCTCTTAGTTGAGAAAATCTGAAATTATTTAATTATTAATTTTTATTTTGAGAGAGAGATTAAGAACCGTGACATAGTAAAAATAAAATTTCGTTAAAACCGTAAACATTAAATAGTAGTATTAAACTTGTAGCTAAACGTTACATTTGGTAGTAAATTGTAATTGTAAAATTACCTATACGACCAGACAGGTGGTGCACCAGGAGTGCCTTCGCTTAAAGAGAATCCACTTGACCAGTCTAAGGTAAGCCCAGCCGCGCGACCCATATGCACTACAGTAAAGGTCTTTTTCTGAAACACATAATTACGAAATTTAAATAAAACATTTTTATCTACTCATAATTTTGACTGAAATACGTTTTATTTTTAATTTTACCTAACAATGTGTTTATACTGCGAAGATTTTTATAATCACGAAGCAAGTCTAAATAGTTAAAGTCTACGTAAAACAAAAGTAATTCGTAGATAATATTTGGAAGTACAATTTAAAGTACTGAAGAAAAAATATATTGTTCTATTTTCAAAAATTATATCAAAAAAGCTTGGCAATCTCCTCTGACAGCTCGCATTACATTTCAAAATGAAAACAATACAACATGAATGTATGCTGCCGAAGCAACCGCGTTGCTTGGACCTTCCCCCGACCGCGGGATGTTGCGCGAAACTAATCTGCACTCTTCGTTCTCTGCTTTTGCCTTGTGACTGGCATCATGGCACCATGTTTCACATACGCAGCAGAAAGAACTTGGCTTTGGAGAAGGAAAAGCAGCTAACAAAAGCGCATGCCTTCGTTTGGCATCCGTACAGTGCAATAAAGTTTTATTGGGACTGTCTTGGATTGGTTGTGTATCTATGCGTTCTTTTTTATATGCCATTTCAAGTGTTCTTTAATTGTAAGTAACTATTAGTTATTATTACTAACTAAGTTTAAGGAATTAAATATTATGACACTATGTGGTCAATATATTCTTGAAGCCTTGTTGTATGTCCAAAAAAATATAAACGATTTTAAAACAAATGGTGACTTTCACCAGTATAATACGCGAAATAGAACTAATTTGAGTGTACGACCAACCAGGCTCCAAAAGATAAACCACTCCTTATATGGAAATTGTATTCGTTTTTACAACAAACCCCCAAGCGAAATTAGAGTATTATCACTAAATTAATTCAAAGCCCTCGTTAAACGGAAATTAATCAATAAAGCTTTTTATAAATTTGAGGAATACTTAAATGATCCTAATCCTTGGGATTGATTTGCTCCAGTTCAAACAATTTGTATGACAATACTTGGCGATTAAAAAGAGTGGCGGAAAGTTCTTGCCAGAAATTTGCAATTAATTTAACTTGACAATTCATAAGTGTACTTGTTAACCTACATGAATAAAGATATTTTGAGTTTGAGTTTATTATGTTTAATATAATCGTTGTCAAAAAGGGTCTCGTCAAATGTTTATTGACTACATAACGTAATTAAATTTAATTATTATTTCATCACTTTCAGGCAAGAATCGATACGATGCTTTCGTTTTGTTTTCCGACGCTTTTGCTGCGTTTGACATCTGTACGAGATTTATCACCGGCTACAACGACAAGGATAGTAAAGCCGTAATACTGCATCTTGGGGACATTGCCAAGCGATACGTAAAAGGCAGTTTCACTTTAGACCTGATAGCAGCATTACCCTTACAAATATATCAGCCATTCAAAAAGTGTACGCACACAATTTGGTTCATTTTAAAACTTCCTCGTTTGATGACGTTGAAAGAAAAATGGAAGAACGCGTACGAGCAGGTGGAATTGTCATATTTAACGACTGCGGCGATTGGTGTCGTAGTGAGGGTGCTTTTATTCTTCCACTGGATGACCTACATTCACTATCAAGTACCAGTTTTTTGTTCACAGCTTAGTGAAAACGAATATGTTTGGAGTAACAGGTCGAGAAGCTTTAACATCACCAATGACTTCCACAGATACACTACGAACTTGTATTGGGTGGTTGGTTTATGTATCGGCGCAGGCTATTACAGGCCAGTCGAGGAGATTTTAATTTATGGTTAGTTTAAATGCATATCTTCAGAGCTAATCTAGTTTGTGCCCAGAGAACATAACTTTTACTTCATTTTAATGCCAAATTGGGTTTTAAGATTACAATTATGAAACTCTAAAAATGTATATAAAATGGGTTTTGCAGACTTATGTATATATATCTCGCTCAATCTCAACCGTACTATAATCATATTATTGTAATTAATTGAGCGTATAGGATGTTTGGTCGTAGTGATTAGTCTGGTTTTTTATAAGAAGCAGTTACAAAAGTAACTAAAAAAGTGTTTTAATGAAGCTTACTTCCCAATGTCATTCAAGATAAACTAACACTAAATTAACAATAGCAAGAACCAGAACCGTAGCTTACATTGTAATTGGATTTTAGAGTATTCGATAATGGTGGTGAATGTGCAATACTACTCGGTAGTCGATTATTGACTTCTAATGTGTCAATAAATTTAAGAAAAAGATTACAGACTGTTCAGTACATCGCGCGACACAAACAGTTGTGCTATTCAATGAAATGCTTTGCTTAAAACCCCTTCATATGCTGATTTCAGATCTTGTCCTAACATCTGTAATAAGCTTAGTTGGGCTGATCTTCATTATATTCACGTTTGCAACCGTATTCCGTCTATTTATTTACGAAAACACAGACCATTTCATCTTTAACGGAAAGCTAAAGGACCTCAAAGAGTATATGGGTTTGCAGAGACTCCCAAACATCTTACAGAGGAAAATTCTACTGTTCATAAATTACAAATTCAACGGCTCTTATTTCAACGAAGAGTATATATTAAATACAATTAATGAACAGATAAAGCAGGATATCAATATGCATTGCTGCAAAGCGTTAGTAACAAGAATACCGATGTTTCAAGACATGCCGGTTGCTTTTGTGAATACAATTATTTTCAGCCTTGTAGAAGTTATGTTTATGCCTGGGGAGGTAAGAAATTTTGTAATAGTCTAAATTATCATTCGTAAAGCTTACTAAATACTGTTTTGCCGTTTTGTAACAGATTGAAACGAAATTCCTGTTGTATCAGCAAATGTTAATCGCACTATATTAGTTAGAACCATTAAGAATTTTAGATGTTTTTCAGGTTGTTGTTTCTCAAGGAGAACCAATAGATTGTTTGTATATTATATCATCCGGTTCTGTTACAGTTATGGACTCAAACGGAAAAGAGGCAAGTATAAAGAATTGTTAATAAAATAAATTGCTCATGTTTGAATTTACGCATTTTTCCTGCTATGGCCAAAAAACACTTGTTGTCACTGATATTAGGTATGGACACTAATAAGTTCCCATCAGATCGGTCACATAAAATAAAATGGGTAGAAAGTGATGCTCGGAATTTCCTGACCACGATGGTGAAACATGAGAAGAGTTTCTCGAAGACAAAAACGCCCATAAAGATTAATGAAAACGTATAAGTTTGTAATGATAAACCAAGTATAGTGATTTTGTTTTAAAATAGATTACTCATTTACGCGATGGAGCTCACTTTGGGGATGATGCTTTATTTGAACCAACTAAAATTCGTAAGACAACGATCATAGCGTTGGAAATCACTGAGACTTACAAGTACGTATTATTAAAGCTTCTAGCTTACGAAATTATAATATTTTAATATTTTGGGTTGACATTAAGTAATTTTTTTTTGTCGAATATAAATACGAATTTATTTCAGTAATTTATTGATTGAAATGCTTAACTATCTTTCTTTATTTTAATATATTAAACAATGAATTTTAATACGCATTGATTTATATTTCTTAACACTATTTTACAACAATAACAATTGAGATATTAATATTTTTATAGATTGAGCAACGAGGCATTTCGTGGTTGTGTGCGTCCTTACCCACAAATAGACGCACGTGTACGTCGCTCAGTTCAGTTTAGCAACTCTAAGCTGCGGTTGCGTCGGATGACTATTGACTAGTTTTGATACGACAGAAGTTGCATCGTTAAAGAAAAGTTTAGTTTTTATGATAATTCTATGTCGATAAATATATCTAAGATATTAATTATTATCAATAAAGATTGTTTTTCTCCTTTAACATTAACATACAAAAAAAATATTATGAGTAATTATTGGACCCATGCCTTTGCCACATATGCCTTTTCAGTTCTTGTGGGATATATAACTTAATCTATTACAAGCAGGTCCGGGGCGTACATAATAAGGTTGAGCGTTCAAGTATTAAGCCGGTTACAGACCGAAAACTAAGCTATGCCAAGGCTAAACTAAGCTATGCCAAGCAAGCTAGGCTAAGCTAAGCTAGAAATAAATAGCGTGCACACCAACAGCTAACCCAAAGCTCAGTCAGTGTTGCATAGTATGTGCAAAGGGTGTGCGGGGTAGCGCGAGGGGCTTAGCTTAGCTCGTGTAGCTGCGCATCGGCATACACAACTAACTTAGTTAGCTCCCATAGCTAAGTTCGCATAGTTTGCGGTCTGCACACACAAGTATGGAAAACTGCGTCAGCTATGCCAGCTAAGCTAAACTAACTTAGCTTAGCTCTTGGTCTGCAACCCGTATTACGTAACGAATTATTTTCCCTTTAGTAATATGTTACGAGGCAGGGCGAGGATTGAATTACGCGTTATTGTTAATATTATTTTCGACTTTCCAGTACTTGACACCACATAATGGTAACTTTTAGTTATAAAGAGTCACTGAGTGGTCACGAAACGTTTTACTATTGGCGCGGGGAGTGTCAATAATCTCCAAAAGTTGCGTGACGTAATACTTGAACATTCCCTATAGCGGGCCATAGACGGACCGCATATTGCAGTCAAGACCGACTGCAACATGCGGTTTGCTCAGGAACTGCTCGAGCGGTCCGTGTATTGGGAATATGAATTTAGTATGGAAACTGCAGATCGCCGTGCGGCGACCGCATATTGCAGTCGGTCTTGACTGCAACATGCGGTCCGTCTATGGCCCCCGTAAGGTGCCTAATTAGTGAAAAATTGCGTGGTGTAGGGAGTTGAAATATCTGAATTTTACAAAGGACATAAAAACTATTTTTTTAAATAAAATAGTTCATTCCAAATACTATTTGTCCCCATCATTTTTGTGCTCCACGGTAAGCGTGTACGGGTTAATATTGCGGGTTATAATTTATAACAGTTTATAATGCGTGATATATATCTTTTATGAGTGTCTTTCTTCTAAAATTGAGATTAACTCACCCCAAGACGTATAACCGAGTTGACGATGTTGGCGGTCCACGCAGCTTCGACACGTAGCAATTCCTGCCTTGTCTCAGTACTAAAGTATCTCGGACCAGCAGAGGCAGGTCCCGGGGCTGAGCTCTGGACCAAGAAGCAGTGCTGCCGCCAATCCACTGTCTCACTCTCTTTGACCGTTCGAAACATTGTCTGGTACACCTTTAGCGTCTCCGGACATTTGGTTAGTTCCGTGATATTCGTCTGTGAAAGTTCGGCGATTGGATAAAATATATTGTTTTTTTGAATGATGAAGGACGAATATAACGATGTTTAGTGTATTTACCATGTTCCGACTTGTGATATATGCAAGTTACTATGAAAAATAAATAAAATAGTCGATAACATATAAATCTGGTATTAATCCATTTTTTGCAAATGAAGTTTATAAAATTCATTCATTTACTTATTCAGAAAAAATACATACACTATAATGTCGAGAAAAAAAAGTAATATAACAAAATATATAATATTAAATATAAGATGAGTGGATGGAAAATTATAAGTTATAGCCGGACTGAAGGGTTATGAACTAAATCAGTCTAATATTTTAGATGTAGTAATGTGTGGGCTAAGTGTATTAAATCCTATAGTAAAAACATCATTGTATACGAATATTAGCAAACAATCGAAAATGTTGTAATAACAAAAAGACTAACCGTAAAAGTAATAACTCATTGATCTAGTGGTTAGTACCCCTTACTGCGAAACCATGGGTCCCGGGTTCGATCCCCGGCTGAGACGAACATCGATGTGATGAGCATTTGATGTTGTGCTTAGGTCTTGGGTGTTTAAATATGTATTTATATGTCTATCTATCTATAATATGTATGTATATCCGTTGCCTAGTACCCATAACACAAGCTTCACAAGCTTAGCATGGGACTAGGTCAATTGGTGTGAATTGTCTTAAAAAAAAAAATAACTAAAAAATGTTTATACCATACAACATTATTCACAGCTATTTATATATAGACTTACCGGTGGAGTATCAAAGAGCATAACATCCGTCCCTTTAAGAATAAGAAACTTAGGCCGATAAGTCTGCCAAGGTTGTCCCCCACAAACTTCACCTTCCTGAACCCATCCCATATATTCGATACGCTCGCCGCTCGCTAGATGGCGGTTAAACAGTTTCATCTGAAAATCACGTTTTTTTTTAATACTGTTCCAAACTTTTTTAACAATAAAATTATTATATTAACTTATCATAAATTGAGTAAACTTATTTCATTATCCTCCTCTTGGCAATAATTGAAATTATTATTAATAAATGACACGATAAGGTATTGAACTAAATATTCCAACCTTCAACCAAAATTGTGTTTTAATGCATCATAATGCAAAAATATGTTAATTTATTTAAACCATCTTTCCTATTCTTTGATAAAAGAAAACTCAGACATTTTAAAATAAAGATAAATAATTTCATATTATTAGACATTTATTTTTGAATATCGCAGCCATAGATAGCGTAAATATCAAACAAAAAAAAAGTATAATAATGTAAATAATATTAAAAATTATCTGTGAATTTGAAATGGCAGTGTTTCGTTGCTGCTAAAAAGCACCCAAAACGTCACGTTATGTAAATGTTTAGTCTCGGGTACACCAAAGTTATAATTTACCTGCAAATTGGTGAGTCCCATAATATTGTCAGAGATGCTCTTAAGCCAGTGTGAGAGTGCGGCTGGCTCTTCTACGTGCACGACGCCTGTTGTAACATGCGTACGCGCACCTCTAACCTGGAACGTCATCTTACATGTTTGAAGTGAAACTTCTTTAGGCGCATGAGGGTAATTTTTTTACGGATGAAACGCAATAATAAAAATTGTGCGTGTACTAGGTGTACACACGTAAGAAGTGAAACTTCTTTATGATCTTATTTTTCGAAAAATGATCTACTATATGCAACTTTACAGAAATTCGTTAAATTAGATAAAGTTTAACAAAAGGCTTTTATTATCATAGACATGAATACAAATATTTCATTTTACCTTATTACTACGAAGATTATTATAGAATTTCATTAAATGTAATAGAATTATTACTATCATTGAAAAACGTGACGATTTGCTACAAAATTTCTCCCATACGTCGATAAAGAAGTTTCATTCCAACGCCGATAAAGAAGTTTGACTTCAAAAAGCAACATGGCGCGTAACCGAAAAATATGACGCGTAACGAAAAAATGTTACACTAAATTTTTTTCCAACCTCGATAAAGAAGTTTCACTTCAATAATATTAGCGTCACAAAGATGTGCACCGTTTTTGTCGAAGAAAAGGGCGAGTGCGATTGATAGAGAGTGATAACGGGAGATCGAAAAAATCATCTATTGGTGCTTTTACGTTAATTATAATTAATTTACAAAGAAGTTTCACTTCAATAATATTAGCGTCACAAAGATGTGCACCGTTTTTGTCGAAGAAAAGGGCGAGTGCGATTGATAGAGAGTGATAACGGGAGATCGAAAAAATCATCTATTGGTGCTTTTACGTTAATTATAATTAATTTACAAAGAAGTTTCACTTCTGACGTGTACTTTGTACGCACACACTTTTTTTTAGGTTCAGGTACTATCTTAATACAAAATATCTGAATAAACTAATATTGTGAATGGAAGGTGCTGCTTTTCCTTCGACCTAAAGGGAGCAACCAACCTAAGAAAATACTTTCAACGTAATACGTTAAATTTCAATGAAAATAAATTTGTTTCGTACAAATTTCTCAATAAAATTATCGTAACTACGAAAAAATTAATAATTCTTACTTCAAAAGCTCCGGGTCTTAGCTTATCTGTTCCTAAAACGTATCGGGTCACGTAACCCATCATTAGCGGTACTGAAAAGTAAAAAGTAAAGTTAATCAAAAGGAATCAAATTTAAAGTAAACTTTCATTAATCCTGTAACTTAATTTTCTTTTTATATTCATTTATTTTTCAGAATAATATTTGCATAAATGCAACCATAGCAGTCTTGTTTAGGAACCCGACAAATGCATATAAAAGTAGTTTTCAACTTAACGTTAACGTTAGGTTATCTGGTAACTGACTGATAAGTTGAAAAATGTGGAGATTATTAAATACATTTAAATACAGTATCGAGTACATTTATATTCTTCTTAACTTTTCTTGTATAAAGCAAATGTATTGTTACCTTACAAACTTAATACCTTCAAATATTTACCATTTAAGGGGATGTGTAAGAGTACCAATTAGCGTCTTTACCAATACCAATAGTAGTTTTTTTTAAAGTAATATTATAATCGTTTACCTGAAACAACATCAACCCACTCCTTAGTTCCCTCTGGAAGACGATCGGAGGCAACTGAGGAAGGCCTTGATTGCGCATCTTGAGAATCACCCCATGCACTCTAAAAAATAACAATTATTAATTTAAGCTTTAAGCTCAAGTGGACAAAATTTATTGGACGTGAAGTCCGGTTTGGTTTCTGTAATAGGATCTATTGCGCAGGCCCCAATAGAGGTTTCGGATACTACTTCAGTTATATTTTTTTTGAGTAGAAATTCTACAGATATATAAATATTTTTTTCTAGAGTCTGGCTAATGAAAGAAGATAATTGAATTATTTGAAAACTTTCGGATGGCAACACAGAATGTCATTGAATTTCTTAGGTTAGAATGATTTATTGTCTTGATACTTCATGCAATTACTCATTTTTATTTCTATTATATATTTTTTCCGAATAGTTAACAGGTATGATAACCTAAACTTTGTTTTATTGATTTTTTGGATTCTGATTTTGATTATTCCGAATAAAGTTGTGTTTTATAATAAATCTAGTTTTCCATGCAATGCTAGTTATTTTAATTATCAATAGTAAAAGACTAAATACGTATAGTATTTAATTTCATAGAAATACAGTTACTATCAATGTAAAAAATAATAAAATAAAATCAAGTATCTCGTAATTTTAATCCACAAAATTATCAAACTTAGGGATACAATACTATTTTTTTTTAATTTGCCGCACTTTTTCGTTATCTTCTTTCATTAGCCAGACTCTATTAGATACCAAACATCAATTGTATATTTTTCACAGGCTATTCTCTTAATGCAAAATAAAATACATATTTGTTGTTTTTTATAACAGTTCATTAACATTTAAATAAACGAACAAATAAGAGAATGGTGAAAAGCATCCACAAGCATCAATTGTCGAGGCCGCTATTTCGACCGTCTTTTAAATATTTTAGAACATCGTGATTCATGATCTCTTAAGATTAGATGTAATTGTAATTACACATAATATGTAATTTCATTTTAAATTTAGTTCTTTGGTATTTCTTTATTTATTTTCCCTTACTAGGGTTGTTGTTGTGGGAATATAACGTAAATTAAGTGAGGGCCAGCGGTGGATTCCAAAAAAAACCAAAATATATTAATATTACTTTAATTAATTACTTTTACAAATAATAAACTTAACTAAATACAATTATTTAATCGGCCCGATATTAGGTGCACGATAAATATATTATATAATAAACTTAACTACTTGAGACTTGACCGGTCCGATATGAGGTATCCGATCAAAAAGCTGTTGGTTCTCTTGTCCCTTTCCTTATATATAGCGTAGTTTTGTAAGAGGTGACTTGTATTGGGTATGCGGGGCAAAGGGAGTGCAATGAATATGTAACACGTACCAAATATGTTATGCAACAAAGTGTTAATAAATAAATAAATAAAAACGTGTGGCACTCGGGGACTGCCGCGGTAAAGCTATTGCATAGCATTTTTTATCAACTTATGCAATTATAATTATTTATTTATTTATTTTTTATTTATGCAGCATTTGTTTTCTTTGATATTAATTCAAGTTTTTTCTTTGATATTATTTCAATCTACCACTCTACCAGACTCAGACTAAAACGCCTATACAGTCTGTCTCACTCTTACGCGTACTGGCTGCACCGGCCGCGCTTACGCTACGTCACCGATCTCGTCAGAGAGATGGGAATGCGCAGTTTGCGTTCTGTCACACTCTACGCGTATTTGCCGCACCTTTATTACGTCATCGTGTGTTAGGTTTTTTTTTCGTTACGGAATTTTTTGATTCGGTCGATGCGCTCAAAGCCCGCGATAAAATCTATGCAATAGCTTAAAAAATATTTCTCGAAGGGTAGTACCGTACCTGCCATCCCCCATTAGTGTCAGTCTTCTCAGAGTTACAGTTATCGTCAACTTTTCCATGGAGTGAAGGGTGATCATCTCCTGTACTGCTGTCCGTGTCGGATGCTGTTTCAGCTATAAGATGCGGAGTAATCGATTAGAAAAATGGGAACACCAAAAAATATTTGGTTCAAAGACATTTTATTTCCTAGAATTTCTTCTTAGAATTAGAAAGTAAATTTAAGGTAGGTTAGTTGTGTACATCGTGTTATCAAATTATGTATTACAAAAAAGCTATATAAAATAAAAATATTAGTTGCTCTGCAAATATTAATATATAAACTTCGTATAAAATAACAAAAATAATTATGTAAATGTATTATGTTAAATTTGAATTCCATACATGTGCACAATAAAATATACCAGACGAAATAATATTTAACCATTTGAGACTTAAAACAGTTTACAATTCAAAAATAGCTTCCAAGGTTTTGTCCTTCTCTCGTGTACTTTGGAAATAAGAAACAAAATATTTGATAACTCATATGAATTAATTAGAGGATTAATTTGTACCTCTAAGATTTTCTTTAATATTACGCTTACCCTGTTTCTGTAAGAAGGGTGTAGCAGCCCGATAGTGCTTGACTGTGAGAACGACAATATCCCCGGCGTTACGGAGGATATTAACGGCGTCGTCATGGTTACAAGCCGTTATGTATTCACCGTTAACTGAAAATAATTTGACTTATTAAAACCAAAGGCAGAAAATTATTACTAATTGAATATCCGAACAATCTTGGTATTTTCTGTTATCACTTTATAGTTTAAGGGTTTTGTAATGTTTTAGTAATATTTCTCTTTGTCAACATTAATTATACTAGCGGACATATATTACTAGCGGACTCGGCCAAGCGTTGCTATGGCTAAGATTTTTGTTATATTACATAGTATTAACTATTCAAGGGAAACGGTAGGAGACTACCAGTCATGGGGACCACCATGCTTTTTTGGTGGTAATGCCATTAAGTTGTAGCTTATGTGAAACGTTGGTACTTTCAACACAGCGCCATCTGTTAGACTTGTGACTATCAAATAATTAACAAATAATTTGCAATAAAATAATATTGCGGGTATAAATTGAGATGTAAGCTATCCTATCTTTTAAGTTAGATCAAACTGCACACGGTGTGCAAATTTGATTGAAATCGATTAAGTAGTTTAGAAGTCCATAGCGGACAAACAACGTAACTCGTAATTTATATATATTAAGATAAGCATTATGTTTGTGAACGCCTTCCGCACCTCTTATCGAAGCCACACATTCTGATGTTAAGTGATACCGCCGCCCATGGACACGCTCAATGCCAGAGGGCTCGCGAGTGCTTTTAAGAATTGTTACGCTCTTTTCTTGAAGGACCCTAAGTCGAACTGGTTCGTTATAAATTGTATAACATGTTCCTATCATATTTTCTGTTTTTTTTATTGTGTAGCCTTATGAATACGTAAATAAATGACTGATTTGAGACGACTCCCGACTCCCTTGGGGAAACTCAACAAATACCCCGAACAGCCCACTTCTGCAGCACAAATATGGATTGAACCTCTGCAGCAGCATCCCACAGTAGAATGTCATAAGTTGAGATTTAAGATGAATTACCACTTGGCCTCTGTAGTGAATTACGCGGAACATAAACTAGCTTTTTCAGCGTAATGAGGAAATTTCACAAAAGTTGTCAACTTAAGCATATTTAATCAAACTTTAGTAAAACACTAATTAATATAATTGCAATACCGGTGAGTGTTACCAACTTGGAATGAGGATAAAATGTGTTTGTTAATCATAATTAATAGTAATAGTAAGTTCTACCATTCAACGTTTAGATAATCTTCTAGACGATTAGACCAAATGAATTATTATAACAATTAACCTTTCGTAATTTAAAACTGACACGTTGTATGTGTACAAAAAATCAAGTAACGGATAACCCTGAGGTCAATTCGATTCCTAGTTAAAAATTGCTACGGGCACAGATGAACACCTACATGCCATACAGAAAGTTTGCAGTGAAACTGACCTCTCTAACATGCCTTACTAAGCATGACATATCGTTTTCCACACCTTTCTCTAACATTAAATCTATATATGTATATAAAAAATTTATGTTGGTTTGTGTACGCTTCAAAAACTCAAAAAGTTCTGCACCGATCGAGCTGAAATTTTAGCATGATATATAATACGCATCAAGGATTGTTGTTTTTATCCATAAGTACTAAAAAATTAAACTTATATGAGATGTATTCTTTGTTTTGTTTCTCATTTCTCAGCCATTCAATCACAAGTGCCTCTGCGAAGCGTGGTTGGGTACAGCTAGTGAAATATTAAAGTGCAATGAGTAATGTGACATCAAAAATCTTGGTTAAGACCTAAAAAGACAAAACCTAGATACTTCCCTTAACAGCGCACTACTTTAGTAGTCAGTGGAGCGTAGCGATGTATTATTCAAAATTTTAGGTCAGAACATCACTTAGGCTGCTATTTTAAGCCTGCATTCCGCGTGTTTACAAACGTCACTATCTTGATAAATCTACGCCAAGTTTGTACACGAATTTATGTTGTTATCTATTGTTAAGTTTCGATTTTAATCCTTTATTACTGAGTTTTTAACTCGTTAAACTACAGAACTTGTTATCTCAGGAATTAACCCGACACCGAAAATTAAGAAAGTAGTTGTGAGTTTAAAAGTTTCATAAGTCCCGATAGAAAGCTGACGGTCCAGGGCCAACTCTAGTAATTTATTTTTATTTGTATACAGAACTGGACAGACGCATGGCCACAATTCCATCTGATGTGCCCGATGGCTGACCATGCGTCATACTCGTGAACGGCTGCTACTTGTGGTGACAGGTCGTACTCGAATTCGTGTATGCGGTGATGTTAGTTATTTCGACTATGTATTTGCGTCCACGTTCACACGAGAATGTAAGTGCGCGCTCCTATTTCACCATGCCTCCTGCTGATAAAGGACAAACCTTTGTTTTTAATTTATTTTATTATTTTATTATATTAAGATGTCACGTGGAACATGGTGTAATGGTTGCAGCTCCTTAACAAACGTTGTGTAAAACAAAAAACTTGGCGATTAAAAGAGCGGCGGAGAGTTTTTACCAGTTCTTCTCGCTCTAAGCACTTGATTAGGGAACTGATAGTAAATTTAGATAATTTAATATTGACGTTCACAAGTAACAAATTATAATACATAAACTTACAGTATCAAGATGAATCACGTTCGGAATATGTGTAGTAGTAGTCACAGATTGAACTTGTGGCTGTGCACATACTTAGGGAGCGTTCAAGTATTACGTCACGCAAGTTTTGGAGATTACTGACCCCCCCATGTATCGCGCCGTAACGTTTTTCTGTACCCAAGTATAGTAAAATGTTTCGTGACTTAGTGACTCTTTATACCTAAAAGTTACCATTATGTGGTGTAAAGTACTGGAAAGTCGAAAATAATATTTAAAAAAAACGCGTAATTCAATCCCCGCCCCGCAACGTTTTAAAAAAGAAAAAAATCGTTACGTAATACTTGAACGCTCCCTTATGCACTTTAAACATCTGCGCGCCAGACATCAAAATACGCAATAGTTAAATCGATCTGGACTATACAGCTATCAAGTAATGTATGTGTGTTGTATTTGACAATTATGGTACCTTTAATGACTGCATCGCCGACAAAGAGTTGTCCCGTCTGGTCCGCCGCCTGATCCTTGTATATCTTGGAAATAAGGATGGGCAGCTTGTGTTCGGCACCGCCTTTTATACTAAGTCCTAACCCGCCAACCTTCTGACGTGTTATTTGAACCATTCGCTCCTGGAATAGAAATATATTTGTTTATATATAGTAATATGATGACTTCGGTGCTTTGTATTGTAACGAAGGAAGGCGTAGCATCGTCAATAGTTCCTGGAACTCCATCGTCAAGAAAGGCTGAATGTGTATATTAAAACGTCGCAAACGTGTCTGACACATTGAGAACACAATAATTGGTGTCGATATGAATGGAGTGTCTTTCAAATAATATAGCTGTACGAATTTTAAAAAATAGAGAACTGATTCATTAGTGCTTTTGTAGTAAATCCGTATCTTATAACGTATAGATACATAAGGGACATATCATGTTTATCGCCTATGTAAAATTTCATCTGCAATTAAGTTTCTTAATTGTTTAATTTCAGGAACTACTGGTGGTCGTATTGAAGAATATAACAATTTATATACACATTACACATACATATAATGTCTTACTACAAAAACAGTTTGTTCAAGACGTAAATAATCATAACATTGAAAATACAATAATAGTCGAAGATATCGCTTGCCCCGAGGAACAAAGTCGTAAAGCACTATTACGACTGTTTTAATGTTTTCTCATGTTTGACTTCCTTGGGTGAAGTACTATAACTATTTTTTTTGCAAAACATCTAATATATAAAATTCTCGTATTCGTTCCAATACTCCTCCGTAACGACTCGACCGATTCTTATGAAATGTTTTATGCATATTCAATAAGTCTGAGAATCGGCTACTATCTAGAACCCTTAATTGTCTCCCCTCTACGATCTACTCTTATTTTTTTATTTGTTAATTAAAATCTTATGACTTGAACTCTGAGGTTTATATAGAGAAAAATTCCCAGAAAAACCTAAAAAGTTTTCATTCCGGAAAACCGAAGTCTTTGGGGTAGCATAGCAAAATGTTCCATGTTATTATGTACCTACTAGATGTACTAAACTGGTAGGCTAGACATTAACGAGAAACGAAGTTCTCGGGGGCAGCCAGTTTTACTATAAAAACACGAGGATGTATTCTACGGAAACTATTTTGTACGCAATGTTTGCCGATCGTCATAGTAGAGCGCAACAACCAACAACCATATAGTTTTAGTTTAGATTGTAATTCTAAACAAAAACACACACACATAAACACACAAAATAACAATAATAATCAAAGCAAAAATAAAATGAGAAATATCAAAAACAATAAAAAATAAAAATTTCCCTCTTCCCATTCGGTTCGTTTCAAGTGTGTAATGCGTGTGTTCTGTGGTTGTAATTGGCCCTGGCTCAGCATTATGCTGAGGAGCAGAATGTTCCACAGCGCTGGTCATTCTTCCAGAGACCACAGCAGCTAGTTTGCGCCGCAGTCGCAAAAATAGAAAGAAAAGGAATGTAATAATACTTAGATTTAGGGATAAGATAAATTACTGTAATACATTTTGATATACATATTTTAAATCGTCGAATAGGAAAAACGAAGCTTTCATTTGATATACATACATGTAATGTACTCAGTATCCTAGTAAAGCATTAGCTTCTTTTATTTTTTCATAAAAAAATAGATTTTGTATTTACGACTTAGTTCCCCGGGGCAAGCGATATAACATTTATCGGGGATGGCTATTTTTCATTACGACCGAACTAACACAGGTGCAGCCGTGTTGCACAACTAGTTTATTAAGGAGTATGATTCATATGAAGTTAAAACCATTTTACTCGTGTGAATTAAAATGCACGTACAATACACTCACAAACAATGAGCATCAAAACGTCACGCGGCAACTCGTATTGTTCTCGGTACAAGAAAACTTCGCACAGCACTGTCTCTAACAGCGAAATAGAAAGCTTACATCATTTTAATTCAGTATCGTGGATTGACTTAGAAAAAAAATATAGTAACAACTTTGCCGTAGATATAGGTAAATTTACCACTGGGTAATAAAACATTACTTGTTAGAGATGCAACAACTTTTTTTTTGTACAAGAAAATAACTATTTGCATTACATCTCTGGAAGATTTTATTAAGAGAAGAAAAAGAAAAACTTTTACTTTATATTTTGGAGGGATATGACCAGCTACGCCTCAGAAGAGAGCTAGCCTTGTCGGTGTATATATTTAAGATACTTACGGGTCGGGTTCATAATCCGGATATAATGGAGAGACTGAGTCTACGGGTACCAAGTAGAAACCTGAGGCGGAAGTCTCAACTTTTGGATGTACCGCGCGCACATTCAAACTTGGTTAGCGAAGCACCACTCACGCGAGCAATACACATAATAAATAAGATTTCTGTTAAGGTAGACCTATTTGTTTGTACACTGGCTGAGTTCACAAGAGTTGCTTCCTATATTATTAGTTATAAGATGTAGGTATATAAATATATATATTTTTTTTTAATGTTTTTTATCTAGGTTAATTGGTGTGGGTATTAATGTTGTGTCGTTCTATCGAATTAGTAATTACTGTAATGATAGAATAATGATATGGAATAAATAAATAAATTTTAACTTTACAATATTAGACTTTCACGGAAAAACCTAAATAACCAGTTTTCTTTTTCTGTAATTGTGAACGCAACAGTTTAGGTATGATTTTTAGGAAAAAGGGTTACGGTTGCACGTACAAAGCCAGGTTCTTATTAAAAATGTTTTTTAATATAACATATTTCATTAGACCATAATTTTTTGAAGTGAAAACTTCTTTAGCGGCGTTGTACACTTTTTTTGGAATGGGTAAAAACTTTTAAACTCGCGTCAGGACACGAGATCTGATCGAAAATTCGTAAGACGGATGGAGAGTAGACAGCTGGCGCGGCGTATTTAATGGAATATAAATTGTCATGTTTGTGTAGGATAGCGTAATAAATAAATATTGTATTCTACCACATAAATGATAGTAATTTTATACTGATAAATAAAGCAATTCGTGCAAAATTATTCCCTAACGATTCCAAAATATCAAAAATGCACAACGTTAATATTCAAGTTTTTACTTCTGCCGGCACTCCCGGAGTGCAACCCGTCGTTTTTTTTTGCATTTGACTTACTGCCATGGTTACCTATAGTATGTGAGGTGACTTACAACAAAGAATTCCTGTATCAATAAAACATGTGATTTCTTACCTGTTATTAAACCTATGATTTTCGAAACCAATTTATTGAGCAATAGCATAGTTTAAATACTTTATAATGACATTTGGTTAATAAAAACAAAGTAAATTGTTATTTACTTAAAAACTTGGACTTGAATAGCTGCAATAAAGCCTTAAAGGGGTATTGTAACTACTTTAGCTTAATTGTACACCTTAAATAGTTTGAATAGGTTTTTCATACTATTTTCTGCTTTAAGACCTTTTATTTGCCGTTTTTTCCTTCATAATTGCATAAATGAGAACCCTATATAAATAGGATCGTTTTGCTTTGTAAGTTTGAAAAAGCATATACAACTAATTTAAAGTCTTTGAATAGTAAATTAATTGCATTAAAATTAGAATTTCAATTCTGTTTAAATACAACACAATGGAGTAAGAAATAACCATAATGCTACAATCAATTCTACGGATACACCTTTTTAGTTATTATCTATCTATTCTTACAAAAAAACCCAATGTCGCATGAGACATTTTTCCGTCTGTTTCCTAGATCATTTAATGTGAACTTAGAGAGTCATACTCTTACTCTTTTGCCTGTAATCAAACTTCTAGTTCAATAGCTGCATTTGTCGGTAAGGTTTTCACGTATACCGTAACCGCACGACTATTTTTGATTAAAACATTAAGCCTCGCACAGCCTATTTTTTTCTTTTCAAAAAGTAAAGAAGGACCTAGCCATCTGGGAGACGCTCCTTAAGGGCCGTGAGGCCTAGGCGTTTTAGGCTTTTGCTAAGGTTTAGTTCAAAGACTCCGTTGGATTGGTCATCTTGAGAGAATAGGAGAATATCGGAGTGTTAGAAAAAGCGTATCTCGGTATACCGACCGGCCCAGATATCGCCAAAAAGCCGTGGCCTACGTGAGCTCCAAGTGCCCGATTGGCAAGTGGTAGCGCGCGCTCGGCAAAGGTGGCGGTCTCTAGTTTTGAAACTCCAACCAACCAACTCTGACTTTGAATCGCTAAGGTGGTTCTAATCTTGCGCAGACAAAGTCGCAGAAGCTTAGATACAGCTAAGCAATAGAGAATTGGATTTTTTAAATAATTTGACCAAAATAACCGCAATAACATCAACATAAATACAATAAAGCTTTTAACACATTTACATTTATTACGCACGTCCACGTTATGATAACAGACGTTAACTTAGCCTTAATTCTTAGGAGTCACGAAAGGTTTACCTCAAAAATCGTTTAAAAAGATTTCTCAGAGACGGGCAAAACAGTTTAAGGTGGGAATCGTATCGTCTAATAGTATAAGCGTGTTTCTTCTGAAGATTACGTCCCAAGAGCAACAAAAAGTAGAGTCGCTTAATTACTGTCCTATTCTTTAAAACTAAATCAGTACAATGGGCTATTTGGCAAGATTTTAAACCATTTCAGATTACTTATTAGTGAGTATATAAACTATACAATATGTTATTTTTTAAATAATTTTGATAATTATAAGTAGTAGTCCGGTCAATGTAGACTTTCGAAGGTACATAAAATCCCAACAAGCTGAAAATCAGTAAAATTGTACAAAACATAATTATAAATAATATTTAAAGTTCCCCATCATTCCCGTAAACGATTTTTTTTTATTCAATGTCAAAGGTCAAAAAAAATAGTTTTTCGCGATTTTCAGCAAAACGGTAAGTTTTATCAAAAAATGTAGATCATAAAATTATCATATAATCTTTAGAGTAGTTATATATATATCATATATTAAATGTTGAAATATTTCGTTAAAAATACTAAAAATAAAAAACAAGTTCTATAGGCTTTCAAAATTCAAATTAAACATTCATAATCCGCCAAAACGCTATTCTATGCAAGATGGCGTCGCACCAGACCCTATGACGTACCTTTAAGCACGTAACCAAATGTCAAGTGTTTTACGTGTTAATTATGATATTTACATTACACACATACACATTATATTTCGATTTAAATCAGTCTCCTGTAAATTAAACTCCCAAGACTAGGATTGTTAGCTAAGACATTATTTACAAGCTTGATTGTCGACACGACTTATCTGTGACCGTTTTGTCACGTGACTAAAATGAAAACTAATAATAAAAATAGCCTTTATTCAGATAAATTTACATTTAAACAAATTTCCATTTTAATCCTCTTCTAGTGTATGCCCTTTTTGGCGAAGGCCTCCTCCAAATCCCGTCATTCCTCTCTGCACTGTGCCACTCTCTGCCATGTACCATCTGTTGTTTCTTTAACGTGGTCTGTCCACCTTCTGAGTTGTTTCTCTCTTTTTCGTTTGCTGTACCTTGGGCACCAGTTTAGTAGTTTTTTGTTCCACTTTAGTTTATTTATTGTTATTGTAACATCTGTTACCTTCGTTATTTTTCTTAACGCTGTATTCTTTATTTTGTCTCTTCTTTTTTTCCCTATCATACATCGTTCCATCGCTCTTTGACACACCTGTAGCTTAGTATACTGCGCTTTAGTAGGCGCAAACTAATACATATATTAATTATGGACTTCTTGATCAATTATTAACACGTTATTACGGATATTAATATTAAAGGTATTTTTTCCGTACCTACTGTCAAATAGCCTATTCCACCATTTTAAGTTTTAACTAAGTATTTCTCTCTTTTGTTGACAGCGTAAACACAACTGAAAAAGACGTGTTGGAATGGAAACGTGAAATTTAATACACCGATATAATTTTAAGTCTGTGGAACTGAAGACGACTATTATATCATTAAAGTGCAATTTTCGCATTCGTAGCACTAATGCACTGTAAAATCAAAATCGCGTCGATTTTAAAATCTTAATTATTTTTTAATTTACTTTGTTAAATTAAAGTAAGAATAAAATTTCTAATATTGATTTATTTCGCCCAAGGTTATGAAACTAACAATGAAATTGTGTCGTGTGCCGTAGTATGTTTTATCTTATAAGTATATATAATTCTCGTGTCACAATGTTAGTTACCACACTCCTCGGAAACCGCTTGACCGATTTTTATTAAATTTTATATTCATATTTGGTAAGTCTGAGAATCGGCTACTATCTATCTTTCTACCCGCTAAGTGATAATTTTTTTTTTATTCTTTAGATTTTTTTTTCGTTTTTATTATTTTATGATACAACATACAAAAATACATACAACCCCTAATTTTCACCCCTCTACGATCAACCTCTATTTTTTATTATTGTAGATAGTTATTTTTATTGAACTAAAAAAATGTTTCCTAGAAATAATATACATGGCAAAACAAACGTTTTACGGGTCTCTATAAAAAGGCGAATTTTTTGAACCAGATAAAAAACGATGAAAGGGTAAAGACACCGTAAGCGGGCCGCGCAGGTTATATACCTAATCATAGTACATAGAGTTTGCATATGAAATCCTAGTTCAAAATTTAGCAAAAATTCCTTACACGTGCGACTATAAATTATCTTAAATTTTTTACATCTTTTAGTACCAAAGTTCGCTCTACAATTCAGTTTCATCATGTTATATGAAACATTACACTATGTATTTCTCCTATCCTATTTCAAGGAAACTCATTATAAAATCATGAGCAAAGTGAATTACATTCACAACCGGGTCGGCAGATGCATCATTTATGATGAACCATCCCCGGAAGTCGCGTATGATTTCAAATAAAACATTTGAGCCTAACTTCCGTAGTGATTTTTACCGGGAAACGTTTTGCCATATAAATTATTTGTCGCCTAATAGCGAAGTTATGAGGTGAAGATACAGTAATATACGCTTTAAAAATTAAGCTTTAATTGGTGATAGAATGCTGCTGATTATGTGAATAGTATAATCATATAAAAATTAAATTAAAACATTTTGTCCAAAAAGTAACTTTCAGGCCAACCTATAATTCAGGGGTATAATAAAAATACATACGACTTATTCTCGGACCCACTGGAACATAAACAAATAAATAATAAAGCTCGGTCAAGCTATTTCACAGGAGTTTGGTTATTCCGTGACACGAGAATTTAATAAATATATAGATTTCCTTTCTGGTGCTGCTTCTGTTATATATATAAAAAAGCTTAACTATGTTAAATTATTAAGCAGGCGATAAAAGCTTTTATTCTGTTACAGGTGACAAGTGTGTAATTACCCAGACGGGAACGGTTCAAATTTAGAATTGTATTTCTAATAAGATAATAATTATACAATTTTGTATACAGTATTTAGCAATGTTCTTTGGACTGCAAAATAGGAATTAGGTCATACATCACTTCTCGATATTCGTCTACTTGCAACGGATACTTTAGTCCATTGAAATGTTATAATTTGAGGGCCAAACTGAACATTTGTTAGACGACGCAATTTTATTTATGGAACATGTAGGGGAGGTCAATACAAGCTTAAACCCAAGTTTGTGGGGTTGGCCTCCTTGTCCCCCGGAAATCTAATCGAATCCCCCGCCATCTTGGAAAAAGGGGTGAAAAGACTTTTTTGGCTATATCTCCTAAACTATCCATCGTACAAAAAATTTGTAAAGACATATTTCGTAGCAAATCGCTTTGCATACAAATATATCTCTGAGACTTTTTATCATAAAGCCAAAATTCAAAAGTTATAAGTAAAAAAGTGAAAGAAATAGGGGGGGCCCTACATGTCCCATAAATAAAATTGCGTCTTCTAACAAATATTCAGCAAAATATGTAACATTTCAATGGACTACTTGTCAAAATTATCGAAGTGTGCGCTGTTTTGGCAATCATAAACTATTCGCACGACAGGGCTCATTATATATAAAAAATAAATAAGAAATATTTTTTAAACATTTAGCCTATGGTAATTATGGATAATGTAGCAGTTTTATTTTTTTAATAATTATGAAATCGTTAGTTTGACTTTATAATTTAAAACGTATAAAAATACATATTTATAAGATTAGTATGAATAGATATGTTCATACTATTCCATTAAAACTTCATTAGAATCTTAATACAGTGTAAACTCTATGTAACGTCCGTCTATCTAACGACAAACCCCTTCAAGCGTCGAAATCAATTGGTTTTGGTTTGTTTAGCTTGTCTACCATACAATGATACACTCTACATAGCATTACACCCACCCTCAATAACGAGAATTAAATAATAAAAAGCACTTTATAAGTTGCCAGAATTAGTTAAAACTGCGGGGCTGTGTACGTTCTTTTGTCTTTATTGTCCGAGCCCGTAATAAACTCGACTGTCGACATCATACGTTCTGAACTTTCTGAGAAATCCGTTCGTTTGTTTACAAATTGGGATTGCTTGCACGTACTTTATCACAAAGATGCCTCAATATTGCAAGATATAAATAAAATAAGTAAAAAAATACAACATATTTGCTGGTACAGCAAAAGCGTTAGCATAGCATGCTAACACTAGTCTGAAATAAACTTTATCTTTTTCTAATACAGATTTTTCTACTTTCCGTTTAACGACAACTCTCTGTAACATCAAAATATGTACCTTTCCCTTGAGTGTCGTTATATAGAGTGTACAAAGTATCTCGAAACATTTAACAATACATTTGGCTTTTGAAATAATTATCATTTATATCTGTACTTAAAACCTATTTATCTAACAAAAGCCAAAAAGCTGTAACCCAGTTCAAACACAATATTGTTTTTAGTACTTTTAGTCTTTGAATTTATCTCCGAAATGTTTCTCTTATGAGTGAAATGATTCCAGCTTTGTTATTTGTTGAATACAAAAAATACTTGAACAATAGTCGAATCAGGTCAAACTTCAACAGCATTAGCAAGTGCTATTGACGTTAAAGTGCGTTTACTGTAATCTATTTATTTTTATATTAATATTTTCTACATTCATTAATATGAAGCAGGAATTCCAAAAAACTGAACCCGACGTTAAAGCAATATTATAGAATTATATCGTACCACACTACCACTTTTTAATTATAAAAGTATCAAACAACTTAGAGCTATACCTATTCATGGATTTATTTAATACATGACATGAGATTTGATGCAGAACTAAGTGTGTATTGCGATGATCAAAAACGTATTAGATTCGACACAAAGACATTCTTAGCGCTAAATCTTCTCTTTAAATCTTATCCTTATTTTACGTTATATAAAAATGCATAGACAGCAAACAATGTCAAAAAGTCGCCTTAGCTTTTCTGTAAGTCTGCATACGTCATATGTCATATGTCAATTGTCACTGAGTTGATTAGTACTTTGACATAACATGTGCCCTTAACAATTCTAGCACTCGCTTACATTATGTAGAGAAAGTGCACATCCTCTTTCGTGACAGTACAATGCCACTTGTAACTTTAATAGATCACTTGAGTTACATAACGGTAAAGGACCAATTTGCGTTTTAACGAGACTGAGTACTTGTCACCATTGTCCATATGAAAGGATTTCACGTGCCAATTAGGCTAACTAAATTTCATTTATTAACAGAATATGAATACTTAAAAAAACTGATTTAGATTTCGTTTAACATTATTACTGTAATGGCATATTTATTTGTGGTGGTTTTAATATAAAATCGTCAGCAGCCAAGTAAAGTAGCTAATTAAGGGCTTACATACTAATATTATCATACAGGTCATTTTTATATTATATCATACTCGACGACGTAAAAAAGGTATCAACACGAGAGAATCAACAGAAAACGTACGTAAGCGTCTTTGTAGTAAATAGTTATTAGTTAAAATTAAAAGAATATCTTGTAAAATATAAAGATATATAATATAACAGCAATACAATAGGTACCGGACAAATATATAATTCGATCCAATACAGCGGTATATATAGAAGTTAAATTAGAACATTTTATGCAGGGCCCCTGTTGTGTGTCCTGTGTTCCCTGTTTATTTTATATATTAACTTTAATGTTTATACTTTTAAAGACGTTTTAACTCACCCTAGTATGTGGGACTCTTGGGTCGCGCGGTTGCGGAGGAACAATGATCTCACGCTGCACCGTCACCGCTTCCATCGTCAGCACCAGTCGCGCCGGCATCGGACGGGACTTGCCGTCCGATACCTGCACCATGCCTGTGCGGATCTGAAAATGTATTTATTTATAGTCTTGTTCTAGCTTTCAGATTTATTAAGAGATGGTGCAATCAACACGAGCTATCTGTCAACCCATCAAAAACAGAACTAGTCTTATTTACAAACCGAAGACTTCTTGGACCGTACAGACTACCAAAACTCTTCAACGCTGAACTAAAACTAAAAGAAAACATCAAGTACTTAGGTGTGATTCTAGATAGAAACTGCTTTGGAACAAACACCTAGAACACAAACTTAACAAAGCAACGATCGCCTTTTATCAATGTAAAAAGATACTAGGCGTCAAATGGGGTTTATCGCCTAAGATTACTTTATGGCTTTACACTGCCGTAATCAGGCCAATGCTAGCTTATGGAGCCCTGGTTTAATGGCCGAGAACAGAACTCCAAACGCCCATAACAAAACATGGACGCTTATAAAGGCTTGCTTTGTCCGCTGCTATCGGTTGCCTAAAAACAACGCCAACTGCAGAAATGAAGATAGCCCTGCAAGTTGTACCCCTGGACCTACACATACAGCAGGAGGCAGCACTAGGCTTATGGTATTGGATCTATGGGGATAAAACCACTACAGCATAAACACAGCGATTATCAACAGGGCGATAGAGTACCAATCTCTGCTAGCCGCGCCATGTGATAGGATCGTTAATCAACACATGCTCAATAGGAACTACCATGTGCAAAAGAGAGAAGAGGAACCGGATCAATCGACCCTGAATGAGCTAAACAGGGCGTGGCTCCGGCGCTGGCGTATTCTCTGTTGATCTCAACATCAACATACACCTATCTCTAGTCACACTCAGCTAGATTTTTCAAAGCGAGTGTTTCGGTCTAACCAAAGCAGCCAGAGCCGTGCAGCGGTTAGGAGTTAATAGCTTTTGTATTAAGTTCGTATCCGACAGTGCGTCTGTGCTGATGGCGTTAGTAAGCAAAAAGACAAACAGTAAATTGATACTGGAGTGTCACAATGCACTGGGGGCAATAACCCTGACAAACAGAGTTACCCTACAATGGATTAAGGGAGACAGTGGATCTCTCGGCAATGATGCTGCCGACGAATTTGCGAGGAGAGGCTCGGAAATGATGCCTGCTGGCCCGTATCCGCTCCTTCCCTTGCCCTTCTCGCAAGTGCGAACCTGGATTCGCCAAAGATCTGCAGAACTCCAACATCAACGATGGTCGCGAAGTGCGGACTGCAGACAGTCCAAAATGGCTCTGCCTACCCGTCAGTTGCGGGTTAACCCGTCTGGTTACCCGCAACTGACGGGTAGGCAGAGGCAACTGACAACGCAACTTCTGAACTTAAACAGAACTCAAAACAATGATAGGGACAATTACGGGCCACTGTCTCCTTAATAAACATCTTTTTGTCCTAGGCGCGGCAGATAGCCCCATGTGCAGAGGCTGTTTCAGCGCAGCTGTGGCTAAACAACGTGCAGAAATCCTCGGAACAGCGAGGTCGCTCCGTGAAGCCTGCGAAGAGCCAGGCTTCTGCGCTTTTGGAATGATTTCGGCTGGCTTAATTAGCCAGGTTTTTACGCACAATGGACTTATTGAGCGTCTAAATGCGTAAATTGAGTCCACAAACCATACTATACCATATATAGTCTTGTTCTGAAAGACAATACTGGCTGAAATTATAATTTCCGATTCTGAATACTAGTTAAGTAATATTGTCTTTGATTAACATAACCTTTACACATTTAAAGAAAAACGCTTTTTACCGGATTAAAGTTATGTTTATTATTATAAATTTACAACTATTTGACATAATTTTGTGACATATATATTAATTATATATATATTAAAAAGTTTACATACAGACGAGAACTAAATTCTCACTTACGATAATGTCATATGAGATTCGCCAGTGATTTATAGCTAGGCGATAATTTCCTGCGTCTGTTTTAGTAAGAAGATTCTTACTTACCAGAATCTCGACTAGTAGGTATATATGTTAACGTAAAATTGTAAACACCATTAGATTGTAATCTATCTCGCGAGATTATAAACTGTCGAAAGATTGTGAACCTCAGCGTGCTGCTTACAATTTAACGTATTATTATTCGGTAGATTGTAATCTATCAAAGTGAAACCGAAAAATTTACAACTATTTGACATAATTTTGTGACATATATATTAATTTATAATAATAAACATAACTTTAATCCGGTAAAAAGCGTTTTTCTTTACTAGTTAAGTAATGCAAAACATTCAAAGAAAATCGAAAGGAAAATAAAAACCTTATCTGAAACATACAGATGATGGTTACAATATATAATGTTTACAATTCTAAGATACAAAACAGATTGTCAACATAAATTATATCCAAGTCTAGATTAAATTCAACTAAAGAATGTACTTATTTTTAAATTTGAATGAATCAATTGTGTCAATCAAGTTTATTTTAAATTAAAAACAAACATGTTCAATATTTTTCTTGATTGAGACTTGGCTGTTACCTATTTACGGGTCTACTTCAAAGCACGAGAGACTTGGCCCAGACAGTACAATAAAAATATAATATCATATATTTATACATAATATCATGCATATTCTTTCCATACCATTACTACACATTTCAACTAGTAAGTTCTGCTAGTGTGCCAAAGGAAATGGTAATTATCCTCAATTTGAATGCATTCCCGTCTAGTCTAGCTATGCCTAACATACTAATCTGCTTAAGTAGAGTCAAAGGTGACTGACATTTCATCAAATAAAGGGCTTAAAGTGTAGAAACCTTAGGATCTCATTTATAATTGATGCAATTATATACATAGATTGAGTTACAAGAAAAGTATTTTGATGATTTTTATACATACTTATTTCAAGATTATAAAGAAAAAAAATATAATAAATCAGTGGCACTACAACCTCTTTTAGGTCTTGCCCTCAGATTTCTGAATCTGTTTCATGATCATTTTTAAATATAATACGCAAGTAAGTGATCAGCCTCCAGTGCCCAACACATGCCGTCAACTGTTTGGGTCTAAGACATGTTGGTTTCCTCATGATGTTTTCCTTGGCCGTTCAAGCAAATGTTAAATGCGCACATAGAAAGAAAGTCCATTGGTGTACAGCCGGGGATCGACCCTACAACCTCAGGTATGAGAGTCGCACGCTGAAGCCACTAGGCCAACACTGCTCATTGCTCATTATAAGGAATTTTTTAAATTAAATTAAAGAATTGATGGCATAGAGGTAGCTGAGTATACTTCATCAAGTAATCCTTTTGTAATAATTTATTGAGAGGATAAATTGTATCAATAAAGATGTTAAAGTCATCAAATATGAATCAAACATCATATTCAACTGTATGCATAAGTTTAACATGAAATTTCAAATGTTAAAGAATTAAAATTAAAAAAAAATATATTTTATATCAATTATTCTTAAAAGCACTTTTGTTACACATTTTTGTGGGAAGGGAGATTACTGAGTAATTAGTGTTACTTTAAAAGCTTTATCTCCTAAAATGTCAGGCCAACAGGTTTCTAAATAGATAACATTACGAGGGCCATTAGGAATAGATAACAAAATAACCACTTTTACTTTGATAAGAGAATCAAAGTATGTTTAATCCACTGTAGGGCATAAAAAAGTTTTTATTAATTTTTTATACAGATATTTAAATACTTAGTATATATAATAACTGAATAATATAAAGACAATTATTTTTACTATATGCTAGAAAATAAATGACTTACCTTGTCATCTTTCTTCTCCTCTATAGGCGTCATCATTGTGAACTAAACACCATTACGATAATCACTTTAAATAGTTTACTACTCTTGAAATATTGTTTAAATTACACATTAATTAAATGCGACCTACAATAATTAATATCGCGACACCCGTATAAATTTACATTAAGCGCAGATTCATTTATTATTATTTAAATCTTTAATCTTCTCTCGCAAAGCTAGGTCAGTAGCTTACTACAAATCAATATACGAGACTGCGACCAAAACAATACGACACACACTACATCCACGACAGACAAAACCTAATTATCATGCATCGCTTGCACAGCAGTTAGTTACATTTAGTTTTGAAAATACATTAATTAAATAGGCACCCACAATTTACTATGTACTTTCTTATTTTCAATTAGAAAACAACAACCTTCTTCCATTTTTAGAAATTGACTAAAGAAAAAAACTAAAATGTGACAATTGACAATAGAGAATCATGATAAACATTTGAAAGCTGACAGCTCTATTAAAAGACAGACGTGAGAAGACACTGGCATATTGGAATGTTCTGAAAATAGGTCAAGAATACTAATAGACTTTCTATTAAAAGTTGATATCCTGATTTAATAATAAATATGTCGGAGCGTTGACGCTAGTATCTGCTGCCATTGTTATTATATGTCACAGCGCTCGTAAATTAACAACGTAAAGACTTATTAGTTTTAAACTTGTGGTTAATTCGATTTGCAAATGATCTACAAATGTAATTTGATAGTCATTATTATTAATTTCAGCAATGGCTTTAATGTCAGCTGCAATAATTATCATTATAATTTAACATCATAGTCAAATTAGTTCAAAACTGTTTATTTTATTTTTCAATGTTGCTAGATCTATAAAATAACGACTATTCAATGATCGATAATAATAATAACTCCATAGTCATTATTATTATTATGAAACTTAATTACAATCAATATAAAAGTAATCTTGATACGGGTTCGGTCGAGTCATGAGTTCACGAAATGTCAGGTTTCTATAAATACAGGAACACTTTGGTGCGGCTTTGGGATCGATTAAGCTTCGAACCTAGCCTTTAAAAAAATACTCTTGTAAGGGCTAGTTGATCTAGTTCTTAGGGTAGGAAGTTAAACACACCATTAATGCCTTGTTTCAATAAAATTCACTTCACTGACTACATAAACTTTATAACTTTAAACTTACACAAAGGAGTTGCCCGTGCGCATATGCCACAACTTATTTTATAATCTATTCCATACTCCGACTTGACCATCCTACTTCGGCAAAATGTCTAAATGTCGCACTCAAATCGGTTCAAACCGATTTGTACGAATACGATACTCGTATGAAGATAAACAAAATGTCATACGAGATATGTGATGGTTGCGCGGGGCATATTCCGTTAAACCAATCATCGCGCGAGGTGCGATCCGTTTCACAATTTGACGGTTTCACTTTGATAGATTACAATCTACCGAATAATAATACGTTAAATAGCACGCTGAGGTTCACAATCTTTCGACAGTTTATAATCTCGCGAGATAGATTACAATCTAATGGTGTTTACAATTTTACGTTAACATATATACCTACTAGTCGAGATTCTGGTAAGTAAGAATCTTCTTACTAAAACAGACGCAGGAAATTATCGCCTAGCTATAAATCACTGGCGAATCTCATATGACATTATCGTAAGTGAGAATTTAGTTCTCGTCTGTATGTAAACTTTTTAATACGCTAATGCTATGGCGATTATTGCTGGTGATAGTCGCGTACGATTTCTTGCACCAAAACGTGCGAGAAACTATCTCCATCTAAGGCCTTAAAGGTCGCCGAAGTGTATACTGCAGTTCTGCTATAGTGTAACAAACCTCTTACGAAAAACGTATAACTGATGTATGAATATAAATGCTATCTCTTTACAGAATTGGTATCAAGATTGAAGTGTTTATCAAACACGTGTACAATCAAAATATCCAGAGTTCGACCAATAGCGGAAAACCTTTATTTCCGATACACACCTAATTATATAAATATATATAGTGATGAGACAGCGAACGAAATAAATGTTGCTCAATCCTTATTTTGAGGGTTATAAAAACAACAAAACACCACAACACGCACTTTATTCCTTTCTTCTTCTATTAATAATTTAATTACACAACATGTATATAGAAAGAATTTTATACAATAGTGTATAATATGCTAACAACTAATTAACCAACAATACAGTAAAAGAATTACGAATCTCTTATTTTAGCAGTCTATTTTTAATGATATGTATCTTTTGCAGTTTGGAACAGCCGTACTTAAGAACTAGGAATTATCTTACAATTTCAAGTTATAATTGGCGTATTTAGTACCTATATTATCAGCCTACGAACATGTCCATATCAAATAAGCAAGAAAACAATTGCGCATCATATAGAACCGTTATTTAATATTGGAATGCAAAACATACTGGGTTGGGAATGTAAAACAAAAGACGAAACCGTTTTTGATTGGTCGACAGCATCAGTAGATGAATCGCAGATACACCACACCATTTGTATTTCGCTTTCATTCTAACCACAGAAATATTTTTTTAGAGTTAATACCAATATCGTTATCGATTGCGATCTCGACATCAATTATAAGTTTTATATAATCCCAAAAGCTGCAACATCAGCGCAGATATTGAAAGATCTATATCGGAATCGCATATAAAAACGTCGGGATCACAATCGCCTTTGCAACTTAGTGTATCGGCCCAAGTTAAGTTTCGTTGCAGTATATGATTAATTTTAAATAAATTGTTCATTGTTAAACTAAAAGTATGTTTGAGAATTACATTTGGAGAAAGGTTACGCTGAAGCAAAATAGATTCAAAAGCTCTCACCGCGGTAAGGTCACGGCTGAAAACGGGTCAAGTTTACGTCGAGAACTCGCCTTTATTATGGGAAAATTTTACGAATGACTTAACAAACTAAAATTAGTAGAGTATTAATCGGTAAACAAAATAGGTTTTATATAACTTCGTAGTATGAAGCTGCGCGGCGTAATAGCGCAATTACTAACTATTCTGTACAATTAGTGCGACATGTCATTGTTTAATAACGCACAATGCAATTATTAATCATCAAACGTACAATATTTTTTGTTAAATTAACAATTTCCTTACTGAAAATTAATGTAAGTTTATTAAACAAAATTTAAAACACCACGTTTTTATGTGAAAGTAAATTAAATTCAATCCTGAGATTGAGCAAGATATTCATATTTTTTTCTGTATTCAGTAAGACGTCTTAACGATGCACGGTAATGGTATCTAATAAATTGCTAATAGTGATCACCACTAATACACGTGCAGAACTTATGTCAGCAACCTTATTATGTTTTAGTGCAATACGCCTGAGCACAAGATAATGTTATAAGAAAAAGCATAAAAAAGGTTTTAACTCTCACAGCTTGAATAAACTATGATTTCTATCGTTGCATTGCAAAATATATATTTTAAATGTCAAAGCAAAAAATTAACTGACTATTTACAAAACATTAATCTAATGATCTTATTTGCAACAGGGTTCAATAAATCACAATATTTATAACAACTGGGGTGTCATCTTGATCACAAACTCTAAACATTATATCGCAAAAATATTTTAACCAGTTCGTAATAATAAAAATGGCTTAAATTAAAACACTTGCTGAAAGTACAATTACACATAAAGCCGTTTGGAGAAAATGTTTTCGCTACACAATACCTGATGATTTCTTCCTTAATTTCGGAATCTTTTTTGGCCGCTCATAGGCCCACTCTATGCTGAACTATTTTATCGACAGTAGGAGAATAAAGATTATTTATTTATGTATCGAATACGTGAAAATAGAAGACCTTTAGGCATATTTTATATTATATTTCAAATTTCCATATCCTTTACTCGCATCTCTGTATCGGTACTAATTCCGTACCAGATAATATTAAACTATAATCACCAGTACAAATACCGAATTAAATTAACGGAACGTTCATCTATTTTATAATACTACCAGTAATTAATTCGAACTTCAATGATGATAAATGGTTAAAAAATTTACTTTAGTCAAAGTAATCAGAATTAGTACCATTTTTATTTATAAACACGCTAAAAGGTCTAAATCTTTCAAGCTAAAAAGTTTAGAATCTTCTCGAGGTACACTTTACATGGGTCTAGTCAATCAATTAGGTTTTAATCCACCAGTCTTATAATTCCTTAGAAGATACTTACAGATTGGAAATAAGCAGATTTGAGCAAAATGCGTTTACCGAAAATCTAGTTGGCAGGTTCAATAGCAAGGGTTTAGGTCTATAGAACTACTTATAACTTTGTATAAAAACTATAATATACTGGACAGTGGAATGTTACACGTGTATCGTACATTCGCGCCTTTCTTGTTCCTTACGTTGTTGGTATCTGTGAAGAAAAATATCTATATAATGGAAGGTTAATAGAGTGCTTCCCGGGAGAAGTAGTAGTAGAACTCATAAGGCTTGACATTTAATATATAAGTACATTTAAAATTTTCATGGACATCGCCTAGTCGTAAAAGGGTCACGTGGTAGACGTATAATAGCTATGTAGACGATATAACAAATCAACAAAATGTGGCTCATGCAATGTAGATACTGTGTGAACTACTATCTTAATTATGTTAACTAGGCTCCTATACTACTTGTACATTCAAAATAATTCTCCTAACAATTTACAACACTGCCTTGTTCCACCAATGAAACTTATGTTACAGATTGGACAAAATGGATTGAGTGTCGGGACTTGGCTAATCCTTCGACAGACCCTTGTATTTCAGCCTTGCGATTCTGTAACTCACTTTTCGAACTCTCACAGCGGTTTTCGTATCGGCGGTCGCTCTCAAATCAGTCGTGAAGCAGTCATTTTATGATTTGGCATTCTGATAAGGTGGGAGCTTGTAGTTTATTGTTTCCACGAATCCACGAATCAGTGTTTTAAATTTAAGAGTATTTTTAAACTTACTTATCTATTAATGAAGATATATCAGGGGGTATTGGGGCGAAGCAGCTGGAGAGGCCATCGCCCCCGGCCGGGCCTCCGCTGACGGACAAGAAACACTAGTCAAATTAATGTAGAGTTAACAACAATTACACTTTACTGTACGAAAGAAAAACAACTATGTAGCAAAATACTTCTTTCGCACAGAAAATATCTATTCGGTATTCTAAATAGCTAGAAGCTTGGGCTTTGGAAGTAAAAGCAGTTCCTTAATTAATTTAAAATTAATAAGCTTCATGCATGACGTGAAAACAAAAGATAACAAAGATATTTGATTTACATGACATGTTGTCTACACAGGTTTTTAATATTTTACGACATTACTTTACACTGTTTTTATTAATACTGAGTTTAGACAATTGTTATTAATAATATGTTATTAATACAAAGTACATGATTTAGATGATTTTATACGATTTTTAATATCTAGAACATTATAATAGAAATTACGCTTGCTTGGCATCAGATTTAATACAATAAATGCAAATTTAAATTATAAAAACATGCGTATAAGCAGTGTTTTATATTAAGCGGTGAATGGAAGTTGGAAAAGGAAGTAGATGAAGACTTTTGAGGGAGAGGAAATAGCAATACTCATGGTATTGCAAGAAAAAGAATGTGTTTACCTATTGTATGTGTCGCAAAAAGGAGTATTTAGAAAAGGACTCTGAAAAATAGTGTATGGGAAAAGGAGTGTGTGTGCGGGGAGGTACCTGGTCTACCTGCTGGCAGTGCGCCGCCCGCTGCCATATGCGCTACCACCGCCTGACCCACCTGAACCTAATTAACCATAATTTATTAAGGTAGTTCATTAAAAGCCACAGACACCTGCACTCTCCCTGAGATGGGTTAACATACATTGACATTTATTTGCTGGAAAAGAATCTTACGATAAAAAATTATCTAAGTAAAAAATAAATTATGAGGTCTCTATGTATCAGACAGTGTTTATACTGTATTGGATTTAAATTTGGTCTAATTATTACCTTTAGTGGTAGTATTAGCAGCGCTGTCACTGTAATCATCGGAATCGGACCGTTCACGCCATCCAGGCGGTGCAGGCGGTGCCCTAAGACGATGTCTTGCCTCTACCGTAGAACATTTTGATAGGCTTGATTCATCTATGAAAAGAAGAAGGTCCATGAAGTATCGGTAGTAGGAGCGTGGATATTTATGCAACTTGTACGTTGTTATAATCGCGTATTAATTACGGAGTTCATTTCCATAGTTACGATTGAGGACTTTTTGTCTGTACTTAATCCATAACACAATGTAGTCTGTCACATAGAATAAGTACCCACTCTGGCATGTGTTCCTCTAAAAAAGATGGCGCGCGTTTTAAGGCAGTTTTTGCCGCCTACCAACACAATATGGAACCACCTGCCCACTGAAGTATTTCCGAACCTGACTTAGGGTCCTTCAAGAAAGGAGCGGACCAATTCTTTAAAGGCCGGCAACGCACTTGCTACCCTTTTGGCATTATGAGTATCCATGGGCGTTATAACTTAACATCAGCTGAGGCCGTTTTCCCCTCTGTTATATAGAAAAAAAAATAACTTTAAGTTTTATGAAGTCCATAGTTTATTAATTAATTATATCGTTCGTTAAATATACTAAATATTTTACCATATCGATAGTGATCACAAGCTCTGCGTCGTCGATGCGGTGCGGCTGCGTCATCATCGCGTCGTGCTAGTGTGCGAAACTGTAGTGAGTGCGCTGCCGCGCCTCCAAATGTTGCGTACGGACTTATCTCGTATAACTCAGCTATAAAAGTCACAATTTAATGTAATTAATAAGGACACACAATATTTGAATTCGGTAATTAATAGTAACTTTCTGAAAATTATTACTAAAACTTTCATGCTTAGACATTTACCACATCGGTTTTCTAATGTAACATATTATGATTGTATTATATTATTTTGTAAAATAAAGGAATAAACAACAAAAAAAAATTTACTAGATTTATGCTCTGTTCTTAACAAAAACAATCAATTAATCTTATACTAACACAACTAATAGCAGTTAAGTAATGCAAGCTAACCAATTGTTGTATGGATTGATAAAGTTTTAATAATATAGTTCCCCACATAAAAATATAAAGGAAGAACACACCATAAAGAGTACAACAGATATAATTCACATATGATATTCTATTAGGCCAAAGTATAATAATAAATCTATTACAACCCGTGCGCGATAAGTTGGGACCTGAGCGCGGTGACGTCACAGTGGCGTGTTTGTACCGTCCGCAAAAAAGCGAACACAATGGGCAGCCGCCGCGGCTTCGTCCTTGTATTTTTTAACCTAATTTATTATGTTATTCAGGGATGATGCTGCTTTTTATCTAATCTTTATTTTTTTACACTATTTGAATACAATAGAATACTATTTAATTATGTATCACAGAAAGTGAAGGAAGGTAACGTTTTGTAATGAATAAAAATACAATGTTTAAGTTTATACATTTATTTTACACGTATCTATTATTTACAATATCTAATCTTCGTCACTACTAAGTGGATTTATGCAAAAAAAACAAGAACTATAACAACAAAAATTACAACAGCAAAACAATAACACAAACGAAACTAAAAGGATTCCAGAGCGCGTCGTTACGTGACGTAAGCCAGAACCAGACTAAAAATCCTTGTAAAAAACTTGCGATGCGAACGGTACAATACGGGCGCCATCGGGGAAGTGCAGGGGAAGCGGGCGGGGAGCCGCATTCCTAGAAGGTCCCAACTTATCGCGCACGAGTTATAGATGAAAAAGCAAAAAAACTCACCCGAGGAGTCATCATTAGTAGACTTTTCGTTGCCATTGATAGAAGAAGACGAATATAACTTCTGTCCCTCTCTAAGTTTCTCCCTCTCCGCTTCGTTACTCTCACTTAATTTTCTGTTGTCTCTCAAATAATTATCACTGGATAAGCAGAATAATCTAAAAATAATAATACATAAATCTCAATAAAATTAATATAATTTTTCTAATATTAACTATTTCTTGTTTGATTTTGATATGCGTTATAAAATTTACGTTCTAAACTAATCAAATATGTTAAACTTAGTAAATAACTTTCAGTCAAAAGTGGCTTTAATCTTATATATTGAGGATTGGATGTAGTTTAAATCAAATATTATTCTGTTCTTACAAATAGCCTACGAATACGAATCATTAATCGAAAATCTCCTCAATTAATGAATATAAATATACTCTTTAAATATTATACTATTGTTAAATAAATAGATAGGTGTCAAATCTAGAAAACATTTTACTAACTTTTTGTTTTAAAAAAGGTTTTCTCGAAATTTGCTTGAAGAATTTCTTAATTATAAAAATAAAGCAGGCAAATACAGGGGTCTGGGCTCTGAATATGATTTTGTCCCATTCGGTGTCGAGACCCTTGGTCCGTGGGGTCCTAGCGCTTTAAGGCTTTTTAAAGAAATTTCAAAAAGGTTAGTCGACATCACAGGAGACCGAAGATCTGGCAGCTACCTCGGACAAAGAATTAGTCTAGCAATTCAAAGGGGGAGTGCTGCCAGTATCTTCGGAACCTTGCCTAAAGGGACTCCTTTTAATGATATATTTTAGTTTATGTTAAGTTTCGTTATTTATTTCAATGTATATTATTTTATTATTATTAGTTTATGTTTATAAGTTTAATTTTATTAATATTGTTACCATTATAAAATGATAAGTATACAAACGTACTTCCTCTTGCCATGTAAAAGACACAGTAGTGTCCCAAGAGCGGCAACAATAACCACTGCGCTGGCAGCACAAGACACAAGCACTGTTCGTAGTGCTGCAGATCTGGCACTGCCTAAAGGTGGCGCTGATGGTTGTAAAGGCGGAATACGGCCTAGAAAAGCAATGAATGAGAAAATGAATAAGACTTTCTATACAACGTAACAGCCAGGACAACGTTGAAATTTTAAGTTTGTACAATTACAGTAATTCTGAAGTGTCTCGTGAAGCAGAGCATAAAGAGTTGTCGTAGCACACACATTAGTTGTTTGTTAAAGTATTGGCTTTTGAAATCTAACATATTTGATAATTAATTTAAAAATAAATTAAATTTAAACACTGTTTACACGTCCACTACGCTTCAGGTCCGAGGCGGAAGAGGGGTGGGATTATTTATATTATTTGATACCATTAAATTATAAATATATTTTTACCGACTTCGAATGACTGTCCCAGAAATTTCAAAGAAAGTTTTTACTACAAAAGCCGTTATTATTACTTTAAAATGTTCCATACAAGTCTTGATCGGCGTGCAATTGTCATTATTAAATTATTGATTTAATAATATTTAATTATTTTTTATAGCTCATACTACGTACCTCGGCAGAATATAAATGTAGTAAATCATATACAAAAAAAATCGATTTAAAATTTTGATTACATATATATTTCTAATAAGCAGTGTTGATAGCGAGCCTCGTGCGTTCGGCTGTAAACCATAACCATATAATTTTCTTTCCTTGTCCGCAATTAGTACTTGCTACTCAGGTAAAGAAATATCGTGAGGAAACGAGAGACCCATTTAGTGTTGTAGTGCTTCTGGATTATTATTATTTAAAAAAATTGTATTATAATCAATGATTTTACATTTATCTTTGGTCAGTCAAACTTTCAAATACACAATGCACTAAAGAACATTGAACAAAAATGTTGAAACTAAATGTATGTACACCTACCACCGGCCAGTGTATGCGTATCAGCGAGTAACATGACCCGCTCTATACCAGCTTCGCTCCAGGCTTCCACCGTCACATCGTACCAAGTACCTGGAGTTAGGTCACCCAGTACATGGCTGGCGGCACTTAAAGTTTCCCCAACCTGTAAGTAAAATAAACTTCTTTGAAAGAAGTTCGCTGAAAACTGCAAAACCGTTATACAGATATATTACAAACGTTCATAAGTCTTAGCTACCAATATTAATTATTAATCAACGAATATTTACTAGAATTACTATGACTATAAAGATTCCCAAACGCTACCTCGCGTCTTTTGTAGTTTATTTTAACTAAGGATACCACACTTATATATTTACAACTGGTTTAGGTTCTGATAAAAATTTAAACAAAAATAAAGTTAAATGACACGTACTTTATTAAACTAACATACGCAGTTCATTGGAATGAAACAGTTTTTATTAAGCACTGAAGAATGAATGATAGAAAACATAAAATATTACAAAGGTACTCTTAATATTTCTAGAAAACTTTAGAATAACTACAACGACAATTGAATCTAATAAGAAAGTAAGGTGACCAACTATTTTTTGTTCAAAAAGAGTACACTGCAAGTATCTTATAGGTGAAAAAAGGAAAGAAGATAAAACGATAACAACTTTATTTTCTTTTAAAAACATGTTCTCTTCGGAAAGGATTTTTTAAATGAGGATGTATAAAATAATCTAAACAATGTTTTAGAAATACAAATGAGTATAAAATTATACAAGTGAGTACTTTCAGACTACAGTATTTCAAAGAGTACGGTTTACGAAAAAAAGATTACAAAACTCAGTAAATGAGTATAGGTGGTCACCTTAGAGAAAGCCATCTTTTAGTTATGAGTATACATTACTTTTATCCAATGTTCGTCTCCCGCCCGACGGTATGCGACCCGAAAGCCCAGTATGGGACAGCCGCCATCTCGCCAAGCATAGAAGTTGATCTTTATGGCCGTCGAGTTCATGTGGACGTGGTCTTCGGGTTTCGGTGCTTTAGGACCTGGTGTTAAACGTGATGTTCCTTAATTAACCCAAACCCACCTCTCCCTAACTTAGTTGTATGAAGATGATAATGATGACATCCTACTTCTAAAGTTTAATTCCCCGTTCTTAGCACAGGACAGGGAGAGCTAGAAGTTTCTCGTTTCGGAGGCCAAGACACGTTTTGCGTAGCAGAGCCAGCGGAGTCAGTGAGTGAGTGACTGAGTGAGTGTCTGAATGAGTGACTGAGTGAATGACTGAGTGAGTGACTGAGTGAGCGACTGAGTGAGCGACTGAGTGAGCGACTGAGTGAGCGACTGAGTGAGCGACTGAGTGAGCGACTGAGTGAAGCAAGTGTTAATGTAGTTTTTCTTACGACTATGACGTGTCGCATACATTATTGTCCAATAATTATTGTATAATTTGTTATACTAATTAATGTTGGTGATATATAGAATTTAATAAGTACAAAGATATATACAGAATATACTCAAACAAATAAATAAGTACTTTAAACAGCAAGGTTTTCATACATAAAAATGCATTTAATACTGTACTTACGTCCCCCTCTAGTAGTTGCAGTAAGAACTTCACTGGGCGGTCCCAAAGATATTTTATTCTGCGCTTGGATCTTGGCATTGTACGTCGTCCCACACTTCAGCATGTCCATAGTATAGGACGTTAGTTCTGGGGAGAGTTCCACGTTGTGCCATTCTGGTTCAGCCGCTTCTTTATAGTGGAGAACATATCCTGGATTTTCAATATGTATTCATTAACATTTCGTTGCAGAAACATAATACAATCGACATAATTATGTGAAAAGGAGGGTAACTGGCAGCTTTATCGCTTTTTGAGCGTTTTCTTCCAGACAACCACTGTATGTAATATTGTATGTGAACTTATTGAGTACGAATCGGTAAGTGACACATGTTAACTTATCTTAAAAAATCTAACATGAAACTAGGAATAAAAAAGTAAATAAATAGAAGTAAATATGTTATTATCCTTTACACCGATTCAATAAGAAAATTAAACCTCCTCGTTAACTTTAAAATTAATTAACAAAGTCAATAAAAAATCAGGTTCTACCCCACGTGACTGGGATCGTTCAAGTATTACGTAAGCAGATTAACTGAAATTTATCCTCCCCCCTCTTCTTGTCAGCAAAAGTAAGCAAAACTCTCAAAAATAATAGTACATAAACGTATTAATTTTTTGTAGGAATCTTCGAAAATGCATTTCGTTTTCAAACATATACAATGTGTACGTAATATTTATATGTAAAAAAGTAAATAATTGCTGTTGACGTAATCACCAAATAATAAAATCAATGACCCCCTCCCCAGCCCTATATTGCTTACGTTATACTTGAACGGTCCATGTTCTCTTTTCTGTTTAGATCACTAAATTTACAAAGCATACAGCAACTAACCCAGCACGGGCGTAGAATCCTGTGGAAGTCGCCAGTGAAGCTTTACACTACTGGCAGTGGTGTACTGCAGGGAGAGTGCTGGCGCTCCAGGCGGAAGAACCACGTTCACTACGTAGATGACGGAATCTTCTCCTATGCTGTTATGGGCCGTGCACGTGAAGTTACCGGAGGAATGCTCGTTTACTTCTGCATTGAAGAAGTTTCTCTTTAAAACATTTAGATAACTTTTATAAGACTGAAATAAATTGGAATTGGAGCTAACAAGTTATTAATACGTAAAACGTCAATTTGATACCTTCAAGTGTTAAGATATTAGAAACTTATGAATTTATATATTCTGAATACAGCTTCAATAAATTAAAATATAATATTTCTTATTACGTAATAATGTTTTTGTTTCTTTAGTAAGTATTTAGTTTTTGTTATATATTGTCGTGCGCATGTTAAAAAAAACATGTGTGTACTTATGTACACGCGTTAGAAGTTATACTTCTTTGTCATAATATGATTGGGTTTCTAAAGTCAAGGTGCTTTTATAGCGTAGGCGAATATTTGGCCTATAAGTTTAACAACAATTGATTATAAATAGCTTGACGTATTATCATGACATTATGTTAATGTTTTTATTATATGACATAGCAAAAATTTATGACATTTGCATGCCTATTTATATATGGCTGATTGTCCGGATATAAAAAACAAATAATGTGATTATAAAATCACATAAGGTTTGATTGTAATATAGTAAAATTCTAATTGCTAATTATGTAAGATAAATTTGCACGCCATTATATGTGGCAGAATATGCGGAGTTAAGATTGTACAACCATAAGATTTTTATACCATATTCTTGCAAATAAATGATTATTATTATAACAAGATAAAAATCAACGACACTAGCAATAAAAATAAATTAGTTGACTTCAGGGTGTCTGTTTTTTGCGACGGTGTGCGCGCGCGTCGTAAAAATTTACTCTCATAATTTTTCCCTAACGCGCCAAAAGCAGTATAACTTCAAAAAAATAAGTAACATTCTGTATATATACAATAAATTAATTAAACCTTATATAAAGATAAATAAGATAATAATATAATAATAGATATAATAAGATAATAATAATAATAAATAAAGATAAATCCATAACCTACGAAATCATTAGCTTATTATCATTGATACATTATTAATTGTGTTACACTGATAGTTTTTATTAGACAATAAATTATCCTCAAAACCAATTGTGTTTCCCGTTAGTTCTCGAAGTTAAATTTCAATACCTCTTATATGGAGATGTCCAGCCCGTGTGACTTGATAGTAGTGATGGTGTGTGACAGGATCGAGATGATGTGCCCATCGAGAGCGAGGCGCAGGGACACCTACGCATGAGCACGCTAGCACTGTACTGTGACCTAACCGGACGGAACGCGCCCCTCCGAAAGACGCTATACGAGCTGGTACTAAAAAAAAGTTGCAAAATAATAAACGATGCTTCTAGAAACTATAAAAGAACAAGTATCTCATTCCTACAGGTAAATAGAGAGAGTAGAGCAGAGAGGGGAGCAGTGTTGGCCTAGTGGCTTCAGCGTACGACTCTCATCCCTGAGGTCGTAGGTTCAATCCCCTGCTGTACACCAATGGATTTTCTTTCTATGTATATTTAACATTGACTCTAACGGTGAAGGAAAACATCGTGAGGAAACCGACATGTCTTAGACCCAAAAAGTTGACGGCGTGTATCAGGCACAGGAGGCTGATCACCTACATGCCTATTAGATTGAAAAATGATCATGAAACAGATTCAGAAATGTAAGGCCCAGAACTAAAGAGGTTGTAGCGCCACTGTTTGATTTATTTTTAAACAACAGATGTCGTTGTTCGTGTGTAGGACGCGATAACGAGGCGACGTCATGGAAATGTATGTAAAATATATGTAGTTTTTGGGATTTGATAATAATGTTGAAAGATCATCGTAATATAAGTGTCCCTCTCTTTGATTAATAATAAAGTACTTTAACTAGTGTGTTCTGTACGTTAGGTTATTTTCATTCATGGTCAATAAAGTAATAAATTGAGTCTCGATTCTCGAAAAAGAAAATTATTTATTGGCTAAAGGCACAACACACAATTTAAGATGTCGGAAATATTACGTTAATATCTTACTTCTGGAACTAGGTCCTTGTCCAACTACTAAGGTGGATTCCCCTTCCCCTGAACCTGTCGTAGCAGACACCCAGAACTCGTAAAGCTGATTCTCCATTAAATTCCGAACTTGAAACATTAACTCAATCTCCTGGTTCTTCTCTGCAGATACTGTGAAACTTGAGTGTTTTCCTAATCTAAAATAATATTAATATTGATAATTTTAAATTAATATAAAATGGCGATATAATAATAATATGTACAAATTATGATAATTCAATAATAAGGGCAACGGAATCCTATTCACTGTTGAACGATTTCTTCCAAAAATAAAATAAAATTTTGCGCATAAATTGCAAAAATTACATAACGTATATACTAGAACAAAGAAAACAATTGAAACAATACGATGTGGACAATAATGCTTGTACAATAGAGACTTAAAGAAGGACAGTGAAGATGCTAAGCAAATAGAAGCGTAGAAGAAAACCTTTTATATAGTTGAAATAGTACCAATTTAAGCATGTTTGGTTACGATATTTTATATACGATATTAATATTTGTAATAATGCAACGCAACATATAACATATAATAACAAAGCATTTAAAACGCAAACACAATTTAAAATATCAATGAAACAATCTATCTATTTAAAGTCTCAATATCTCGTATCAACTATGGAACTATAGAAACTTGTAGTTTACCTTCCAGCCTCTCTATAATACACAGTGTAGTGGGATATGACTCCATTCGGGTGTATTGGAGGCAACCAGCTCACTAGCACTGAATCGCTGGAATAGGCTAATGCCTTTATTTTCTCAGGAGCCGAGGGCACTGAAATATTTAAGACGCAAGTTAAAGTATCTACCTACTGGTATATATCAGATACGTCATACTGTTATTATAGCAAAATCTATAGAATAAAACCGTTCCGTGCACTTATAATGTTTGTAATAAATAAGTACGGAAAAACCTGTTATTTGTTGTGGGAAGATGACCCGAATTGACTACCACTATAATAGTTTTACAATAGGAGAGAACGATCAAAGAACTTGAAAAGATATCTGTATGCTGTAACTGTTATTAAAAATCCACACCACAAGTAGGTGAAGACAAATGTATAGACACGAAATACAAAAAATCTGACTGAAATATTCAAATAATTGAAGTGTGAAGGATGGTGAACAGTTTCTATAACTTCAAGGGAGGATCCTCGTCCGGTCGATCTACTGACTGGCCCGAAGGCACCAGCATTTTTTTAAATAGCTCGCTGAAGATCTTTGACAGCTCAGTTGGGGCTGTTTAGGCGAGCGTAGCTCGGCCTGAATAGGCTTTTCCCGCGACTAGCGCCAGGGCATTTCCTTCGAGACTCGGACCTCAGCTTGGGCCGTCGCAGGGTGGTTAATCGCCTGAAGGGCAGAACGAAAGCTCATTGGTGTGAGTGAAGTACGAAGTAAGGGACCTTGTCTTCTCCGGTGAAGGCGGATTTTTAACCTAAACTGATTTTGTTCTACCGTGCCACCAGTTGAGAAGATAGAGATGTTGTATATAAATATATCCTTAGTCGGAAACACTTCGTTAGAGCGTTTTACGTAAATATGACGTCATCGCTTTAATTGTAGCCGTAGAATGTAGGTGATGCTCTTAGATGTAAGTAATAGTGTATTTGACGATTTCTCACCATCTTCTTCTGTCATGCAGAATACTGGTGGACTGCGTTTTCCGTCACCGGCGTTAGTGAAAGCCAACACTTGTAGAGAATAGTTGGTGTATTTGTGCAACGTGTGCAAATATGTGTCTGTTGTCGTCACGCGCTTTATTTCGGCTACATCAGCTGAAAATAAAGATAATTATAAGTATTAAGTGAAATTAAGCTGTGTTGGCCTAGTGGCGTGAGCTCGTAAGGTCGAATCCTGGCTGTCGTACTAATAAAATTTTCTATCTATTTGCGCATTTCAAGTCGTGAAAGGACACGTTTTGAGGATACTGACGTACGAAGCCCCTTAAATCGACAAGTATCGACAGAAGGCTAGTCACCTACTCACCTATTAGAAAAAGAACAAATGATTACGAAAGATAGATACAGGAATCTGAGGCCCAGACCTTAACGTTTTAGCGCTACTGTTTTTTACATTAAATAATAATTTTCTTTTACATTTAATAAATGTTCAAATAAAGAATTAATAATTCAATGGACATGGTCTACAAAGTGGTAGTGCGCAAAAACTGGCTTAAAACGCAGTTCTTTCAACATCGGTTTACTAACTTAGCATAATATTCTTGTATTATATGGATAATTATATTTTGAGATAGAGTATTAGTAATGTGTTTCATTGTGACATTCTACAGGCTAATTTGACGGCTGACAGTGATGTTCTAATAAAATTCTATAAGAACTTATATGTGTTACATAGATCAAGTCAAGGGAAATAAGTACAAATAAATAAAAATTACTGTATTGTTTTTATTTACCATGGTTAGTTGTTAGTGGTGCGTATATAACTTTATATCCCTGTATGATTCCACCTCTCATCGCTGGTGGTGGTGGGCTCCATGACACCTTCATACTGGACGACGACAGAGCTGAACACAATACACGCGTCGGCGGTGACTCTGGAACTGGAATTTATATAATTATTTTAAATAAATATCAAAGTAAAATAATGGTGGTATGACTACGGCTATATTAAAAATTTATTTTAATTATGAATACTCAGTTTGGCTGATAAACTTTAATTAGATGCTAGAAGTAATTTTAATTTAATTTAGTAGCTGTAAGAAGTAATTTTTAATTTAATTTTAAATGGCACATTCTCACACACACCTCAACCAATTAATTATTAGTGAACTGTTTTGGTTCATTATGTTCTTCGTATATATGGTGTAATAAAATTATGTTATTCATATATAACGTGTATAAAGCATTTTGGCTATAGCTTTTAACTTAAAACTTGTAAATATTATCTTAAAAGCTGTGGATTATCAATAAACTGTTAGAAAAAAACAACTCACATATAGGTCATTCTATGATTTTGTAGTTTGGGTTTAGTTTATTATATAATTATAGTATAAACTAAATTGTAGATCAAAGAGAAAGTGCTTCATTCCAACCGAGGGTTTGTAAGGCACGAGACGTAGCTGGATTCGCACATTCTTCCAAGAGATTCGAGTAGTGTTTTATACCACAGATACGATAAAAATAATAAACGAAAACACAATTAAATTAATGAAAAAACATTAAAATGTTCATTCATTGTTTTTTATAGGTAAATGCCCAGTATCATCACTCGGAGATTAAAACCTTCTTAGTTATGAGTAAGAAAAAGAAACACCATGCTTACAAGGAATTTTGAAATAATATGAATTTCTATACAATCTTATGACATCTGATTTGCCTCATTAAAAATGTATGTTACAAATTAATTATATACCTCCTTCCAGAGTTGTAGCAGTAACAGGCGGAGAACTAGGACCAGCGGCAACTCCATTGAACGCTCGGACTCGAACTTCATATCGCGTGAACTTCTTCAGCGATGAAAGACTGAGCTCCGTTGCAGACCATCCATTAACCGTCAGTGTCCTTCAATCGTTTCAAACAATACTCCATATATATTTAATGTATTCTGAGTAATGTTGAAGTTATTAGAATAATTGAACATAATTAAAGAAATTGCATGTGTGGAAAGGGAACCGGTGTTGTGGGAACTACCAATATTCTTATCGCGGATAAAATAAATGCCGTTTTATCCACAAAATTATATACTGGTAATAATTCCATATTAAGTATAAATATAATATCTGTTGTAATGTATTACAATATACGCTTACATCTTAGAACACACAAAAATAACAACAAAGGAAAGTGATTGAAAATTTTTAAAGGCAACGTGCCTTTATAATGTAAGTATTTAGACCATAAGTTAACTTATTATTATGACATTATAATAATAAATATGACATTTGCATACCTATTTTAAATGGCTGAGTGTGCGGTTTTTTTTATAATTAATCAATCTGCCTGTACCACTTTCTTTGCAAATAAACGATTTATTATTTATTTTAAAAACTGATTGTTTACCCTTTAACAGGTAAATACAGCATGCATTATACTTAGTAATTATTTCCAACGGAATTCTTATAAACTTAAAAGATTTGATCTAAAGGGAGAGATATAAATGATAAGTTATACCAAAATATTGGAAAAGATCTGTAAAACTGTGAGTAAGAGAGGTGAAGGGAATCAATTTCCGAGAAAAATTTATTAGCCAAATTACTAGGTTCTGTGGAAGGGAACGACAAAAGGTTTAATAGGAAGAAGAGGAAGAAATCGAGGAATCCTTAAGTTTATTTTTGTGAGCAACAGAGCTTATCGATTTGTCTTTTGATAATTATATAATAGGCATATCCGCATCATAAAAGACCAACCTCTTTTATGTAGACTAAGTTTTAAAGTGACATAACAGTGTTATCTACATTACAAAAAATACCTCGACGGTTTCTTTACTTAAAATATATATATCATATTTTAACATGTAGTACCTTGTGGCATTAGTGAGCAGGCCATCCTGTCCGGTTTCAGTACAGGTTACAGAATATCCCAGTAGTTCGCCATGCCAAGCCTCACGAGGGGGAGCACGCCAACTAACTTGAAGTTCACCAGGCCCACCAGCACTCACTTGGACGCTACTTGGAGCCTCGGATGGTGCTGAACCCATATCAAAATATCATTGAAATTTAAATAGTCAATAGTCAAAAAACACATTTTACTACCAGCCTAGCGATTCTGTAACTCACTTTTCGAACTCTCACAGCGGTTTTCACGCGGCGGTCGCGCTCAAAGTGGGTTACAGAATCGCAAGGCAGTTCTCAAATCAAGGAACGGACGAGAAAAACTAAAAAAACTCAGCCTCTTTAAAAGTAATGTTAGCTTCCTACTATGTATTTCTTGATGCATTACTATAACGCTTGCAAGAAATTAAAATTATTATAATAAAATTAAGTTAATTAAAATATAATATGTTTGTTCAATAGATTGTCACACTGTCTCTCTTACTTGTAAGGTTAAATTAATGTCACAAAAATGTAATTGTTTAACAAGAGTTTATTGACAGTTCTTCTCTTCCGTTCTACGCTCTTGATTTGAGAACTGGCAGTAAAATAAGGAGCATTTAATGTATATTTCTTTTTTGACGTTCATAAGTGTACATTGTGTTATCTATATGAATAAATGATTTTTGACTTTTTACTTTTGTAACTAAAAATATCTAAAATACGAGCGTAATGCTCATGCGTAATGGCACCAAATAAATTTAAAAATTGCAGTTTGTCATAGAAAAAGCTTATTTGTATTTTTTTTATTTTATTATACCTTCTTCCTGTGTTTTGACAACAACGGGCTCTGTATATGGGCTTCGGTCGATTTGATTAATAGCAGCGATCCGGATCATATACGCTGTGTGTGGCCTCAAATTGCTCAACAGTGACTCGTAGTGAATATCTCCCTTCTTTGTTAGACTAAAATGGGGGTAAATAAGTATTAAAAAAAAATTGGTTATTATGACAAAACTATTTATACTATTTAAGGAATAAATAGTATAAATAGCTTTGTCTAAATTAAAGGAAGACGAGGAAGAAATAGAGGAATCGTTTTACTTTTGAGAGCATAAGGGATTATCAATGTGTCTTTTGATTATTATATAAAAGGCATGTCCGCTAATACCCTCTTTGTCTATGGAGAAAATTTTTAAAGTAACAATATAAAAAATCCTACGATGGTTCTTTTACTTTAAAATGTAAATTATTATACCCTTAACATATTGTGGCATTAGTGAGCAGGCCTACAATTAGTCTCAATTTCATAATTTGCTACGTACTCAGGTAATGTCTTAAACATTTTAATTATCATATTAATTTAGCCATTAATCTTTTATAAGTACGTAAGTGGTATAAGTATTATAGTGAAAACTATATTTTACCATTAAAATCTTTCCCCTGACACAACCGTACAAAATTGAGAAATAAATTTAGCCTATATTACTCAGGTATAAACATTCTAATGGTGAAAGAATTTGCATTCGGCCTTACCAGTACTTTTAAGTTTATTCGTTGCAAATTAACAATTTTTTTCCTTTTCCTACAATATTAGTTTAGACTACTGAGCCAATTGTTTAATTATAGTATAGAAAAAGTATCATACATAACGTGTGCATGTGAAGGCCCATGGACGGACACGTTGAGTGTGGTAGCTGAGTCCCAATGAGAGACACGAATGGCTCCTTGGGCAGATAGGGCACAATATTGGATAGTATAGGCCTCCAATGGGGAATTCCCGTCAAATCCCTGACTCCAGGATAAACGTACTGCACGTGAGAGGATCTCGGTAACTGATAGAGATTGAGGGGTCTCTGGTTTTTCTGGAAAAGAAAATTTCACCGAAAATGTTTTAAAAGCCAATATGTAAAGGGCAAATTTAGTATAGATAACACTTAAGAAATACGACGTTTTTTTTTCAAATAAGGTAAACAATTATTTCTTTTTATATATCTCGGTTATGGTTCTAGAAATAACTAAATCCTTTATTTGCCGGGAATATACACTAGTGACAAAAAATATAAAAACATACTTTTTCTAATAGGCAAGTAGAGGATATTTTTCTTCACTATACGATCGTGTTTTAATTGCATAGACACCTAAGAATAATGGATATCCGGGGTTTGAAAGGGGTAAAAGCACATGTATTAATAATATTATAGCTTGCTTCAAGCCATACCTTGGACGGATAGATATATATAATGGTCGCTATGTCCATATGCATTAACAGCTTGGCACTTGTAGACACCAGAATCAAGTCGCTCGGTCCGACTTATGTATAGCTGGGAACGGAGTCCAGCATCTGTCTTTGCTTCTGATACACTTATTCTGCAAATCATTGTTTGAGAAAGACTGGGTGAGATTCAGAAACGAGTCTTAGCGCTAAGTGAGACCCGTACGTCAAAAATGATTCGCGGTTCACGCTAATTCTCGTTACTGAATATTATTAATATGAATAGCTCAGATTCATGCCTTTGTTATTAACGGACATAGGTAATGGCATAATCAGTTTCATATACGACGAAACAATATTTATTTGAAATATTTGCATTGCAATTTGCTGTAGAAACACGCCTATTTTTTGTTACCAGTAAGAGCTTCAAAGTTTATACGTATCGTATACGCTGCGGAATATACCGTTGTGGAAGCATAATTCTCAAATTAATATAAAATCAATTGCGCTACAACCTTTTTTAGGTCTATACCTAAGATTTCTGTATCTGTTTCATCATCATTTGTTAATTTAATAGGCAAGTAGATGATCATTCTTCTGTGCCTGACACACGCCGTCGTCTTTTTTGGTCAAAGCAAGCCGGTTTCCTCACTATGTTTTCCTTCACCGTTCAAGCGAATGTTAAATGCGCACATAGAAAGAAAGTCCATTAGTGCAAAGCCGGGCATCGAACCTACGATCTCAGGGATGAGAGTCACATGCTGAAGCCACTAGGCCAACACTGGTCAAATTAATATAGTGAAATAAATATTATCGTAAAAAGTACCTATAAGTAGACAAATCTAAAGGCCGTACAGCCCTTGACCACGTCAGACGTAACGGGGCATCGCCTCTTGCTTCGCACGCCAGTGTGGCGGCCGCCTCGCGTCTCGCGGATACATTATGAGATGTCAACTCAAATCGAGCTGGCTCTGAAATGGTATTAGTATGACAAGACAAAACAAACGAAGAGACAATTTTTTATTTATTTCCAAAGAATATTGTATAACAGGTGACCGAAACCGTAAAAAAAAATCACACACGAAATTAAAAATAAACATATAAAATTAAATAGGAAAAACAAGCTAAAGAATAACATAATGAAAAAATTAACTATATTATAGGTACTAGCAAATAGTAGAAATTTGTCAGTTTACTCAACGGACAGTAAAAAAATAATCTTTATTTTTACTGTCAACAAAAATAATAACTTACACTTGATTCATAAAAAGGAACAAGAATAACATTTACAATAAAATATAAATTATATAAAAAATTGGATATATTGGAACAGTCTTTTCTTCTGAGAATGGTACTCTTCAATTAACTCGTATGTTGACGAAGAAGTCTGTGTCATAAATTATAGTATAATAAAATAACAAAAATCTCACCATTAACAGCTAAGAATATAGTCTTAGATAGGGGTGTACCAATGCCATTTTCCGCCCTGCACATATAGTAGCCCTCATCATAAGGTAGAGTAGACTCTATCCATAGAGTTCCGTTAGTATGGAATTGAAATCGCCCGCCCAAGTTCACCAGCGGACTGTATTCTGACGTGGAACCTGCTATTTATAATTAAATATTATTATTAATAAGATATTTTTTACTGTCTAAAACAACAGAAAAATCGTTATAAAAATTGCGTTTCAATATTACAGTTTTGTAAGTATTTTTTTCCTCAGCGCATAGTAAAGTAGAAGTTCTAGCAACGCTTCAAATTTGGCTGTCACTGAAATGACGCTTATCGTTTATCGGCAATCAGTGACCATGCTGGTGTAAAAGACGTCTGACTGTTTAGTTAAATAAAAATAGGATGACCAGAGACATTAAATGCATAGAAGTAGCTTTTTAATTTCTTCCTCTAAATGTGCACTATGAATACAAAACATTATTATACCACACAAAATTTGGTCAAATTCGTTTCAAAAGCTATATATGTTTAAAACGAAAAAGTTTAAATATGCAGATAGCATCAGTAAATATTCTCTTCTTATGTTATCAGATAAGACACACTTTGACATGATAACCTTAGTACAAAATTTCAGTAAAAATATCAAATACATGTCCTTTTTGGTTGGCTAAAATAAAAGTAACGAGTTAGTGTAATAATTTGTAATTGCGATGTTTTCTTTATTTCTTATTAATACTGGAACGTCTAAATATAAGAGCCAAAATCAACACATTAAATTCATCAAATAGAATTATTTCCATAAATTTATATTTATATTATTAAGCTTGTGATTAGAACTTATAATCGTACAATCGAAACACAGTTGTGCAGTAATATATCGCTTGCATATATAAAATTCCATTACATGATATACCATGATAAAAGATAAGTAAAAAGGGTTGTACTGTAGATTACCATAGATAACTATTCATTTATTTATTTACACTTTATTACCTTATACAAAACATACATATAAAAAAATAAAATTAAAAAGCAGGTTACATAAGTTATTAAGGCAACGGGCGGCCTTATCGCTAACAGGCGATTTCTTCCAGGCAACCCTTATAAGGAACAATAAAAAAGAAACACCTACAGAGGGTAAATTACAAGAAGTGCATAAAGAATTGACAAAAAAAACCCTCAAAATAACACGCAACTATAACTAAAGTAAAATTAAGTAAAGTCTAAAGAAAAAATAAACATAAATAAAAATATGTATAAACAAAAATTTATATGCCAACTAATAGGCTAACTGAGTCACAATAATTAATATATATATATATAATTAGTAGCTAATTACGAGGCAGAAAATAATGATCAAAAAGAAGCTTTAAGCATTTATTATTTTAACGCTAGCTTGATTGGGAATAGGTTTTCATATTTCTAGTGTATGATATGGTTCAAACAAAAATGTCCTACCTCTCTGTTTTAACCAAGTAACCTGCGGATTGGGCGAGCCAGTAGTTTCACAATTCATAGCTACAGGCTCACCAGCCAACACCGCTTCATCCTTTGGTTCAGTCACCCACTTTGGTGATACTGCAGCATGCGAGAAATTATCGATTTTAATATAACTGTTATAATGTGTTTAACACAACTTTACTTATAATAGATTATTGCTTAAGGAAAACTTATAAGTTACATCAATCTATAGCTATAGCGTTCTTACCTCACCTGGCGGCATTAAAATTTGTATGTTAACTTAAATATATAGAGGCTGTAACATGATTTCATTTTTTGTTTCGCTCGGGTTATGCTATGACGTATTTTCAATTTGATTATACATTTGCCATTTTTATTTATTAGTTAATTAATTTTATACTTTCTTAGTGAGTTTTTGTGCGTATTTTGAACTATTTGAAGGCAAAGTGTTAGGTAATATATTATGAGTCTAACCTCTTATTGTTCCCATACTAACTTCCTCCTTATCGTTACGATTGATAATTGTGTGCGATTCATGTTAAAAATATAACGAACGAGGTATGTACACAGATCCTATTTTAGGATGAAATTGTGTATCAACAGCCACCGAACCCTTTTTTGTTGTACTTAATTTTTTGGTACAAACTGAACCGGAAAATGAAATAATTTAACCAAAATCCTAATAAATATGGCAACAACTTTTTGCAGTATAATTATAACTGTAGTAGTGGAAAGTTGATAGGTAATAACAATAAGATCTGAATGCAGCCTAAGGGTGTGCTGACACAAGTATAAATAGCGGAAAATTAATATTTGTATTGATAAAAATAATGCTTAATTAAAAAGTATCAGTATCTAATCTCTCCTTTATGTTTAAATATAGTCTCACAGTACCATATTTACGAAATAAAGTTTTTGAAATAAATTAATTACCCATTCCTTCTAGCCATCTGTAATCCAAAGATGTGCAGAACAAAAATAAAACAAAAACTTAGTCATAGGATGAACCGCCCTTTAAAATATATTAGTGTTCAATTAAGTCATCTAAATAAATAAACGGATGAATTTCTATATAGCTTAAAATAAAGACCAGAAAAATTTGTACTTCAAAATGAAAACAATAATTTTTCCCCAATTTTTCTGGTAACTTCAGTGTTGAAGCGTGAGGTGGTGCGAGCTGATTGGTGCATGGTGCAGAGTGCCAGGATCTAGGCGTTACCTTTCACCACCAGCTCGGCGGTATAGTTAACTTTTGCTGCGTTGTTGGACGCGACACATGTGTACAGTCCGCTGTGGCGGGCTGACACTTCTTTGAATACAAGATTGCTGAAAAAATCCGCTCCTCGCTCTTCCACCTATATCATAAGGCTTTCTGAACTACCCGTCTCTTACGTATAGTTGGGACTTATTCATTATAACGTCATAATAAAGAAATTCATTATCTTATACGAGGTCACTTAAATCTTGTGTTATTTCTTATATAGTGAATCAGCCTTACATCGTTTTAATAAAAGAACTGTTGTGTCTCTCTTTCTCACAACATCGTTAACACAATTTGACAGAAATAAACAAATGACAGTCTAGCTAATCCGTACTATAACATTATTTGTTTCATGATTAAGAATACAGCTGTCTTGTGTTTCTTTTAAGGTTAGAAAATAAAAACGTCAGGATAATTTTCCCGATCATTGCATTATACATTTCTCGAACTTGCTTATTATGTTACACTAATTTAAGTTTATATAGGATTAATTAACAATAGTGAATCAAGCTATTTCTTATAGTCAGATATTGTAATAAATATGAATAATTCTTGAGATATATTTTACCTGGAGTGAAGATGGTATAGGCCCATTATCCTTCAGCCACATGAAATGCACCGGCATATCTCCCGAGATAACGCTACAACTGACTTGAGCTCGCTTTCCTTCTTGGAGATTAGCAGAGAATGAAAAAGGCTCTATTTCTGGAGGATCTGAAATTACGATAATGCTGATAAAGATAACTAATAGTTTTGCAGTAGAGGTTTCAGAAGAATCAAGCTGGTAATTGACTCGTGAATTACTCTGGGTAACCCCACCTAGGAAACAGAACCATAAAGTAATTTTATTGAATATTTTATGAAAAAAAATATACTTTATCTCCTCTTTGGGGGTTTTGCTTTCTTATATATAAATACTAAGAATTTATTACCCTTGATTGGATACACTGAGCCTAAAGGAGGGATCTAGCTATTAATCGGTACCAATTTGAATTTCTTAGGTTGGAGTTAATCAGTTATTAACCACACTAGGCATGGTACATGGTACATTTTCTCAGAGCACCATGCATGCCTAATAATGTTGTGATAAATAAAAAATGAAATTAATTAGTAGCGCTACAATCTTTTTAGGTCCTGGCCCTTAGATTTCTGTTTCTTTTTATAATGTAATAGGAGGCAAACGGGCAGGAGGCTCACCTGATGTTAAGTGATACCGCCGCCCATGGACACTTACAATGCCAGAAGGCTCGCAAGTGCGTTGCCGGCCTTTCAAGAATTGGTACGCTCTTTTCTTGAAGGACCCTAAGTCGAATTGGTTTGGAAATACTTCTGTGGGCAGCTGGTTCCACATAGTGGTGGTGCGCGGCAAAAACTGCCTTAGAAAACGCTCTGTTGTGGAACGACGGACGTCGAGGTGATACGGATGGTATTTTGTATTTTGCCTTGACGTCCGATGATGAAACTCAGCTGCAGGTATTAGACCGAACAACTCCTCTGAACACTCTCCATGGTAAATGCGGTAGAAGATGCAGAGAGATCCCACATCTCTACGCAACGCCAAGGGATCAAGCCGCACGGAAAGTGACTGGTCGTCGACGATTCGAACCGCTCTTCGTTGAATACGGTCAAGTGGAAGGAGCTGGTACTGGGGAGCCCCCGCCCAGAGGTGAAAGCAGTACTCCATATGGGGCCGAATTTACGCTTTATATAGTTGCAAGCGGTGGCCCGGAGTGAGGTACCGTCTCGCCTTGCTGAGCACACCAAGCTTTTTGGAGGCTAATTTAGCCTTTCCTTCCAGATGACCGCGAAACTGAACTTTATTCGATATGTCAACGCCCAGTATTCCGATGCTAGCTGAGGCTTTAAGGAGAGTGTCTTCAAAGGGGGGAGTAGCGACAAAGGGAGTTTTTTTAGCGGAAAACGCGCATACTTGTGTCTTCTTGGGGTTAAATTGGACTAGATTAAGTCTACCCCAGTCCGAGACTCCACGTAGAAGAGTTTCGACTTCAGACACAAGTTTGTTCCGGTACTCATCGACAACAGCCCAAAAAATACCTGCCCGGCCAGTGTAAAAAGTATCCCCAGTGCTGTCGTCCGCATAGCAATGAATGTTGCTAAGCTGCAACATATTATTGATATGAATAGAATAAACAGGGTCGGGGATAGGGCACAGCCTTGTGGGACACCAGCATTCACAGATTTCAGGTCGGAGCATGCTCCGTCGATGACGACTTTGATGCTCCGATCAGCGAGAAAGCTGGAAATCCAGTTTCATGGTCATATTTCAATCTAATAGGCAAGAAGTGATCAGCCTCCTGTGAAACACGCCGGCTTTTTGGGTCTAAGACATGTCGTTTTCCTTCACCTTTCGAGCGAATGTTAAATGCGCATAATAATGTTGTGATACAGGCGAATATTCAACGATGAATTGTTCATTATTTGTCTAAAATAAGGATTGAGTTTTATTTTCTATATTGAATTAGTATTAAGGCAGAAAATAAGTAGCAATTAATATTATAGCTATATAAGCCGAATTCGATGTCGGATCTAATGATTTCCTCTAAGCTGAGAATCGCCCTTTGACTAGGCTAACACTGGTCTATAACAATATGTATAACTAATTGCACTTTGATTTGTCTTTGTATTTTTGTATTCTATAGAACTGACTAACGGTTAAAAGTTAAAAAGTCTGAGTCCACGAAGGACTCAGTTTCCGCACTTAGCCTCTCACTAGGTCCATTGTGCGCAAAGTCCTGGCTAACCAAGCCCGCCTAGCTCCTTCCAGAAGCACAGAAGTCTCCTGGGCTCATCGCATGCTTTGGAGCGACCTCACTGCTTTGGAATTGACTATTTAATACAAACTATCACAACAAGACACAAAATTAGACTGACTGGAGACAACGAGCTGAAGCTCCCTCCGAGCGAGTTCTCCGTGCGGTCCTGTTACAGCGCATGTGTAAGCCCCACCGTGTGATGCTTCCACTCGGGCGACCCTCAAAGCTCCAGTGACGCTGCTGTCCCATTCTACTTGATTACCGTCTCGTTCCCATTTTACTGAGCTGAAATGATACACCAGGGGTCCTATTATTATGGCGAGATTGTGTTATTATTAATTACGCCCCGTGAATAAAAATCACCTCGTATGTGGATTACGTTTTTAATAGCCTTATTTATCGGATAACGGTTTAATATGTAGCCTATTTTGTAGATAATATTTAAAAAAATCTAATTTAGAACTTTTCCAATGTCTTCGCAGAAAGTTGTTTCCACTTTCGACCATAATGATATTCGTATGATATAAGATTTAAACCATACTGCGTTGTACCTCATAGCTATTGGTTGGATAATTGTTTTTTTTAATACCATTGGAGTTATTTATGCAGTTGCTTATATAATATTTTGTAAAAGATTATATAAATTATTTATTTGTTTTTTATTTATTACCACTTCGTTGCAAGTATATGGAAATATGGTACAGTTAAAATTATTAATTAAAACTGGCCAAACATATTACTAAGAATTCCTTTAATATTTGATAAAAATAACTCCTGGACATTATGTCAGCCCTAATGAAATCAATATAGGTATATTAACTAGTAAACCTTATAGGGTATCCCGAATAAGGACAGTACAGCACCAGTTCCCGGCCTGCGACTGCTCTGATTGGTCCAATCGATCTCACGTATGGTGGTCCTAAAAACAGACGTAATAACAACCCTTGACAATCTGCCCCAAACTCTTTGAGTATCAGAATTACTAGAATGTGCCGAGGATGCTAAAGCTATATCATAAAATATTCATAAAAACTAAATCAGTCTAAGTATATACTTTTTTAAAGGCGTTAATACAATTGAACAATAATAGATAAGCAAGAAATAAGCAGTTCTAATATGATCACACTATCTATAAGCTTTTTTGTAAGATTTATATTTGATATTATTTATCTAGTGATTTCTAGGAGTTTTAAGTCCAAAATATTTAATAGCGTAGCGTATTAATTTGCAAATAAATAACTTACTATATACATAGTGTTATTTAATGTTTTATAAATATCATCGTTTAGAAAATTAGAGGGTCTGTTTCACAATGTATAGATAAAGTACCAAATAGCTACGCAACACATAAATTATTTGGAAGATAAATTGTCCTATTTGACACTTCATCGGACTCATAACTTATGATGGTCTTTATGTGACGAATAGCGCTATCTGACAGTCGTGAAACGCAACAATAGTGTTTATCCTACCAATAAGTAATAAATAGCTAATTTGGAACTTATGTAGAATTTATCCGTACATTGTGAAACAGACCCTAAATCTAATAATGATCTAATACTATAAATAAAAGTTACCATAAATATTGAGTCTAGATGTATGCGAGATTTCTCCCAATGAGTTGGCGGCTCTGCAGGTGTATAGGCCTCCATCTTCTGATCTCACTGCAGATATGTTTAAGTAGCTCACCACGTCATTGCTTTTTGTCGCAAATTGCTCAACACTGTACCTGAAATATTATGTCGATATTCAAATACTTGGCTCTTCTTAGCTTGGAGAAGAACATTTTATACTAAAACAGAACCTAGTGGGAGTTTCTTAGCAAGTATAAATAAGTCAATCAAGCAAAGACAAAATTATCTTTATTTAAATTATATTTAGTATATACATACTAACTGGTCACAATGAAATACAACCTTCAAAATAAATACATTCCGAGACTTCTTTAAAGAAGAAATCAGAGATTAAAAAAATAAATTTAGTTATAATTTTAATGAATTTACTACTAAACCTAGAGAAACTTGCCAGAAATAATCAAATATGTCGTTATTTTCGAAATTTTTCTGTGTTCGAAATTAAATAAAAAACAAAAAATAAGAGCTGGTGCTTTCCTGGCTCAACGAATAAGTATCGCAAAACAGTGAGAAAATGCTGCCAGCGTTAAAGGTGCCACAGGGACCAAACTTTTTAAATTTGTTTAAATTATTTTTAATAATTTTTATTATTACTATGTAGGTTAAGAAAATTGTAAATACAAATTATAGGTATGTAGCATGATTACACGATTCACGTATAACAAGAAACATAATAACCATTACGGGGATATGTGTCACTAAGAAAAGTATTTGTATAGTGAAATATATTTAGAATATTTAAATCTCACCTATGTCCTCTCGCCATTGTATTGAGAGGCTGTCCGTCTAACATCCAAGTAAAATGGGGAGGAGGTGATCCAGCAGCTGAACACTTTAATGTTACCACCTGTCCTGGACGCAGCACTTGCTCGATAAACGTATATTGAAGTTCTGGAGCCGTGTCTGAAATATTGGATGTTCTCGTTTGAAGGTGTTATGATGTAGTGACAAGTTCCGATTGCTTTGGTTTATGACGCAATTCCTTTGTTGATTAGACTTTGATTGGAAAGTCTAACTCTATAATAAAATTGCTGTTAATTTTTTTTTTATGTAATAGGAGGCAAACGGACAGGAGGCTCACCTGATGTTAAGTGATACCGCCGCCCATGGACACTCACATTGCCAGAGGATCGCAAGTGGGTTGCCAGCCTTAAAAATGTTGTTTTTTTTTATATTATCTGATGGTTTGAATTTACAAAACAAATTTACATAAATTGCATAAAATACCACGGCATACGTAAATTAAGTGTTCGCGTTCGTGAGCTAATTCAATTTATTAAGAACTCAAATCTGTCAGTAAGCCTGATAAAAATGCCTTGCCCAAACCTAATAAATAGATGCACCTATACGCAATGAACGTGGCAGCTGTAGATACAAAATTCTAATTAAGAAAGTGCTTCCTGCGTTCAATTATCGCAATTAAAAAGGAAATACTTAATCATATATATATTTGTTTTTGACACAGACATCCTAAGATATGTCCCATCATGTAGAGGAATACTATGTATATATATTTGCTACATTGAATTACATAACTCAGTTCTATCAAGTGTCTCAATAGGTAATCTGGCCAAATTAAAATTTTGCTTTAGAGCTAATCTCAGTATTTGTTTTATTATTTTTATAAGTTTTATTTATTTCTACAATACCTCCTAATCTGATTTCAGCACTTGCTTGTGCGGAATCCCTCTCATTTCTTGCCATGCACTGGTAGACTCCTTTATCCGCGCGGTGTACGGATGCTATAACAAGTTGTTCACCACCATTTTGTACACGTACACGACCACCAGCGATACCTGTGCTCACGGGGATACCGTTATGGAGCCACTCCAGTCGCGGAGATGGCCATCCACCCCACGTGCAGTTTATGATTGCTGTGCCACCACTATTTACTACCTGGATAAGATAATAACTGAATCAGATGCATTCTTAAAATTTTTGTTTTAATGGTTGGTTGCAATTAGATTTTTCATAAGAAGTTCAGTGATTTTAAACGACTTTCCAATCAATTATAAGTTATTTTTACAATGCAACACCAAGACCTATAATAAGTTTAATACATATAAAGACGCGTGTGAACATTTTAAAATTAATACTTTAGACTCTCGACGAAAACAACATGATTTATTGCTACTACATGACATCATCTCAAATAACATTAATTGCAGCTCCCTTCTAGAAAAATTGCCCTTCCTTGCTCCAGCCTACCAGACTCGTAATCGTGGTTTGTTTCATGTTCTTCACATCAACACTAACTACGCAAAAAACTCAGTTTTGTATCGCGCAGCCCGGACATACAACGACCAATATTTAAGCCTTGACTTGTTTAAGCTATCGCGGAATATGCTTAAAAGAAGTATTATCATGAACATACCCTCACTTTTACACCATCATACAACACAGCCAAATTAGGTACCACTTAGTTAAATGTATTGAACAATTTTAAATTGTTTGTTTCTTTTTGGAAATTTTTGAACCTTTTTGTAGTTAAATGTATTATGTATTCCATCTCTGGCTATATTTTCAGTGTGTTATTATATATAATTGATGTTAGCTGTAGGATTACGAAATAAATAAACACGTTTTAATTAAGTCAAAGTTTAATTTCGATAACACAATACTTAAGTATTTTTCTTGATTGTATTTTTCTATTAAGAATTGAAAATTTTAAAATTATCTTGTTCTTGAAAACATATCAGGAATGTATGTAATGTAAATTTATATATAAGTACAAAAGTGTTTCGCAATGTATTTCAAATGAAAAAAAAAAAATTAATTCATCTGAGTCCTTATCGGTAAGGAATATTTACTATTAATGCGGTCTGTGTATTAAAACCAATTTTAATGATTTTAGAAGTCATTCATTTGTTTATATTTGCAACGAAATGCGAATAAAAGCGATTCATTATGATTTCAACTACCGATAAGATCTTGGAAGTCTCCACACAAATCTAGCCCATATCAAAACACTATTACATATACACTTTTTAATATAATATAATAAATATAGTTAAAAAAACTAAAAAACACGATTTTAAAGCACATCAAACTAAAAAGTGAAAAATAATTCCTAATTTAGGCTGAAAATGGTAATGAGCAAAAAATACTGGTATTATTGTGAAAAAGCGTGGGTTGCTCGATAGACGAAAAATATGGCATTGATGTGCTTTTTTTAGGGCACAGAGCGCCAAAAGCGTGTTTTTTAGTTTTTTTTTAACTATATTTATTTTCCACTTTTTAGTCCTAGCAGCAATACGTGTTGTCTCAATTTAATCGTATTGCTTTGTGGACTTAAAAAAAATTTCAAGATAAACCTATGAAATTATTATATTGTCGCTGATTCTTTATAAGTGTACAAAGTTTGAATTAAATCTGTCCGTTTAAAGTGGGTCAAAATCGAGTCCGAAGGAGTCGGTTACATACATACATACAGGTGAAGCTAATATAAAGCGTGTAAAATCAATATCTCTTAAATAATTGATTGACCGTAAATTGACCTTATTATAACAGTACTAAATAATAATAATAATAAATTACGTTCACGTTGCGTTAGTGAATTATCAATAAGTATCCAATTTACAAAATGATTCAAACAACCCAATGAGATAACTGGAGTTCGCTATAAAATTTTATATCAGAAGCCGACGAAATTCGAATAACCTATTGAATTTCTGAGCACATATTGAATTTAATGATATGAAAAGTCTCTTTACAGAAATAGATATGCTCCTTTCATTCTTGTACTGCTTATAGTAACAAAATGTCATTATAATGATTCTCGTTATTGTAATATAACGGGATGCGATATAGTTGTAATTCAATATATCCCGTTATGTCACGAGAGATACAGTCGTTACGTTGTAAAGCCCCGCATCTTACCGAGCTTTATAGTTGAGACTACTGTAATCGGACTTTTGTGGACGGATGGAATTAAATCAAGGTTATGCTCAGTATGCTATAACTATATTATCTACGGATAAACTGATCAGGTTATTTAATGATGTCACATCACGTGAATTATTTATAAATTATAATGTCTGAAATACACTAGGATATCTTTTGTTTTCATATGCGCTTCTGGGCTTCTTCGCGAAATCGTATATTTATTTAACAGTGTGTAATCTATATGTAACACTTGGCTTTTTGTGCTGAACCGGATTGTTGTTTCGGGTTTAAGTCACTGAATAAATTCAAAGCCCTCGTTAAACGAAAATTAATCAATAAAGCTTTTTATAAATTTGAAGAATACTTAAATGATTCTAATCCTTGGGATTGATTTGCTCCAGTTCAAACAATTTGTATAACTCAATACTTGGCGATTAAAAAGAGTGGCGGAAAGTTTCTTGCCAACTGGCAAAGCGGGTAAGAAGAACTCTTCTTACCCGCTCAACGCCCTTGACTTGCGAACTGGTAGTTAATGTAAATTTTCAATTAATTTAACTTCTTTCTGACGAGTCATAAGTGTACTTGTTATATGAATAAAGATATTTTGAGTTTGAGTACGACTTGCCGGTTTTCTCGCTATGTTTACCGTTAGCGAATAAGCGTTTGTTAATCGTGCGAGTGAGTCTGAAAACACAACAACTACAGTGATGAATTTTGCACGTTTAGCCTTTAGTCCAACACTGTATTTAAGTCTATTAAATTATTTTCCAGTTCAAGTAAGCTTAAATCTCATAATCCTCAACCCACAAATGAATAATATTCGGGCAAGAGCTATTTATATCCAAATTTGATATTCCGATTCCGTCAGGGTTGTAAAAACATGTTCCGACAAACACGGACCTCGTCCTAAACAAACAACCGAATTTGCTCTGAAACCCAAAAACAATAATGCAAAGCGTGCCTAATCTTTCAAAGAATCAACTTCTTTAAATATTTGCGAATGTTTTCGAGTGATTCAAATGTATTTATTCTATTAAAATGAATAATTTATTAATATGTCAAACGTGACAGGTGCGTATGAAATGGGAAAATGCGCGGTCGGTTTTATTTGTTTAAAAATTCAGTTTTACGTCAGGTTTACTGATGATGGAGGAAAATGTCGACTTTTATTTCTATTGTACAAAATGCATCTAACATTTTAGGTATAGAATTAAAAAAAAAAGAGATGGGTGATATTAAGCTGTGACTTGCGCTATGTTAACCTACTCTTTCTTAGATAAATCTAATTTTTAAATATGATCAGTGTGTAAAAGTGCCAAGCATCGTTAGCTGCTCTTTGTTACATTTGGGTTTATTTTTAATCGTTTAACTCTTCGTTGCATATATCTCTTGCGGTATTCGTAGATAGTATACGTAAGTTATAAAAATACGATACCATAAGGTGTAAACTCTGTCCACAAATAACAGAAAATACAAGTAATTTGTGAATTATTTTATCAGCAATATTATTATTAAACTAAAGCTCTGCTTAAGCTGTTTATCGAGCACTGAATAGCTGGGTCCCTAATTAGACTATGAACAATATATTTAATCCGTAAAATACAGAATTATTCGCCTTATACTAATCTAATACTATCCAGTTCTGGCGTCATCGCCTAAATTGAAACCGTAATAATGATTAATTTTACTTTATTAAAAACAACGTTCCTGCACTTTACCTGTTTTGAAAGTTAAAACAATTAATAAAGTTTTTGTGGGTGTTTACAGTACATCCAAACTACGTAATGAGCTCGTTACACAGCGAGAACTTTATTACTTTTACATGTAATTGTATGTAGTACGAGTACGTGTATATTATAAATTAATTAAATTATTATTATATTTATATATAATATAATATAATTTAATTATTATACAGTAGTGGTTATAAATTTGTATTATGTGAGTATTGCACATTTTATACAATGACGCACCAGCATATAAAAATAACTAATCACTCACAGTCTCTTTCTCACTATAAAATACCATTTATGCACAACTGGGAATCGAATGCACGAACTCAGTGTTCGGATTTGTACGCTTATTTACGAATAGTACTGTTAATATCATTCTATATTCAAGTTATGTTGTTATTACATAATATGTTTACAGCACGTCCGGCGTGTATACATTTAATTTGCAATGTAAATAAGTACCAACACGGATTAATATTATGATGTGTAGTGATAACTGGATGCTGTATAATTTGATAATGCACAGGACTTTTGAGTAAACCGTGTTAATTTAAAATAAAATTGATAACCTTGAAATTCTTCTTATTCATACATATACTGTTTATACGTAAATCGTATTAAAGACGTAGCAAGAAAAATATGTATGGAAAATTTGATCAGCGACCAGTGAATTTACAGAAAGCTCCAACGTACATCGTTGTAATAGAAAAAAAAGTATTGTATGGATCTATTGTGTCTTGCCTCAAACATTTTTTCTACGAGTCAGCCTGTTCAGTATGGTATACACGACCGCCTTTATAGATAAATTTATGATCCGTAGCAATGACTTCTAATTTGGATATAGAGCCCGGAAGTTAATAAATCCTTACTAAATGCGAGCCCGTCCTGCTCAGCAAGTTATCCGCTAAATTTGTCCTTTTAAGATAATAAATGGAGAGTACTGTATGTTCCACAATTAAATGCCAAACATTAGTTATATAATATACGGTTTAACTTTGACAAAAGATGTCATGCGAGAACGCTAATGTCGAGCTCTCAAATCTAATTTCCTCAGTGTCTGTATGAGCTTCTAACTAGTTTGCTTTATTCTAAAAGCTTAAAATACAAAATAATTAATAAAATTAACATACTAAAAATGAAATTTTCTTCACCTATTTAAATTAGAATGAAGGAAAAATAATGTTTTAAATAAACCTCACGCAAATTAGTTATATGTATATTCGCATCGATTTTTAAAAATGGAACCACGTATCTGCCTGCAACAGTGGAACAAATAGCTGACATAAAAAAAAAATAGTTTTTTTACCATCTATGCCCTTTGTGATATTATAGTGTTAACACTAATAAAATCTCTGTTCCAGGAATCACACAATCCAACGGGCCGGATGCCCTCGACAATACCAGAATACAGAAAAAATCAGCGCAGTACCCACAACTCCAATTATGTCACAAAATATAACTTTTTATATTTTTGTCATCCTCATGTTTTGTGTATTCAAATATGCTAGCCATTTCACCAATGAACAAATGATGCATAAAAAATAGAACTACAATCCCATAAAACAATTTCTATTTTAAATAAAGTTTATTGTGGAATATGATTTATCGGTGCACAATGCGGTCCAAACTGCGGGTAACAAATGTTACAAATTGATACATTTTGTCAACTCTGAACAACCGAATTTAAAGTTACAATACATTTGTTACAACAAAGTTTTAGCGGGTTTTTTAATTGTAAGTGCTACTTTTTGATGTTTTTTTTTATAATTAGTGCTATTAGAGCATTTATGATAATGTAAGGGTGCTTATTATATAGAATGTTATTCCACATTCATTAGCTTCTACAGTTTTACTAAATCAAAAACAGATTAATGGCAATAAGAGGATGACCACACATAATGGCGCTCTGTCTCATATTTTACGATTAGCGACATTGAATCCCCAATACATGTTTTGGAGAACCAGTTCAAGAAAGATATACATATATGTATTAATTAGTGTTATAATGGGTCTGTATACATGAATTAGAAATTTGTTATATATCAGAGTAGAAAGGAGACTTTTAAAGCAAACCGTCTTTTATTTTATCGTAATTTGGAGTCACAATGAGAAAAACAAAATTGATACAATAACGAGCTCACGAGTTCTTGACTTACAAAATACAAACCATTACAACAATTACTAATAAAATAGCTTTATTTGCTAGAAAAATAAAAGTGTAAGAATTTCTATCGATTGTTCCTTTCTCCTTTTAAGACGCCCTTGAATCCAGTACATGTACAATGAACAAATTACTCAAAGTCCCAAAACCCGAACAAGAAAAAGAAAAGTAGAATGGAACGAAAATCTTAAGGTCCGTTGATTGTTTAAAATTGCAAAGAGCACATTCACTCCGCCCGAATTGTTACTGGCTGAATAAGGTCCCTTCTAACTGGCCAACCCCTTACCCTCGTTTGCCCGACACATTTGTCGGAATAACAAGAATTTATACAAAACTAGTAACGAACTGTAAGTCTATTGTTATCGCTCTGTTGGAATTTTTATACAGGATTTGCACAATAGTTTTCTTTGCTTTTAGCCTGCGCTAGAATATAATGTTTATACCTGGCTAAAATAGATTAGTAAACAAAAATGTATATATCATGGTTTTTTTTTTAATGTAATAGGAGGCAAACGGGCAGGAGGCTCACCTGATGTTAAGTGATACTGTCCACATACGTTGCGTTGCCTTTCAAGAATTGGTACGCTGTTTTCTTGAAGGACCCTAAGTCGAATTGGTTCGGAAATACTTCAGTGAGCAGCTGGTTCCACATAGTGGTGGTGCGCGGCCAAAACTGCCTTAGAAAACGCTCAGTTGTGGAACGACGGACGTCGAGGTGATACGGATGGTATTTGTATTTTGCCTTGACGTCCGATGATGAAACTCAGCTGCAGGTACTTGTTCTTTTAATTTTGTAAAATTTGGTAACGATTGTTGCTTTATCTGTTTGCGAAATGTCTCAGATTTAAAATAATTGTCGAAAAATTCAGTGCATGTAGTTATGCCCAAACAATAATTTTACGTAGCATATCTCGATTGAAAGTTGCGTCTAACTCTCTTACACAAATTTAAGGCAATGGAACTGAATAATAAACTTCTCGTAAGTTAATATCACATATTATTTCAACAAATAGCTAATAATAAAAATAAGGCCGGTAAATATTTTCACTTCGGTAGTTTAAATGACACTTGGGTTCAGTAAATTATGAAAATGCTTTTAACGAATGCAATTACACTTCAAAGACTTATTGATATTTGCGCTTCAATAATTTAATTTATTAACAGCAGCTGTACTCCATAATTTATTTGACATATAGGACATGAATCATTTTATATAATAATTTAAAGTTCTTGTTATTATATAAACAAGTCAATTCGTTAATAGGACATGGGGTTTTTTCTGCATCGTTTATTGATGAAGTGCCTTATAAATATTTTGAGATTAAATATTCTGTGGCCCTAAATTGGTATGCTTGGGACAGATTGCATATATATTAGTAATTTGTCTTATCTATGAATGTATTATTAATATTCATTCCACTTCTTAAGTATATATAATTTTACGATTCTGCTTAGTAGTGTCTGTAGTGTATACTACAACCTAGTAAAACCCTCTATAGGTTTTAGCCTCAAAATGCGTGTTTCTTCTGTTTTATTCAAGCAGGTGATCAACTTTCTATTCTTGGCATACATCATTGATTTAAGGGTCTAAGACCTCGCGATGGTTTCCTTAAGCGTGTCAATAAACACATCAAAAGAGAAATCAATTAGAGTTTCAAAGCGTGAATCGTTGATCGTCATAAGCATAAATACTTTTCTTTTTTTTAATGAGGTGAAAAGGCGCTTACGAATGTCAGACTTCACGCGGAGACTGTGGGAATGGGTCTACACTCAAAGCCTTTTGCTATTCAGAGGGGTAGCGAGCCTACACACTAAAACACCTCAGCCCTCCACATGCCCTTAAGGTGCCTCGGGGAACACCAAGGCATTCAACTCGACATAGGGCCTAATCAAGATCTCAATACTAGGAAAACAATGTTTTTTTTTTAAAAAAATTGAGGGGAAACGAGCCTGCGGGAGGCCCAAAAAGAGCAGTCATCGCAGCCCATAGACATGATTCCGCAGTTCACTAGTTCGCAAAAGAAAATGCCTTGTGAAACGGACTGTGGAAGACTTTCAGCCATCAAGGTGATGTTTATATGAAATGAAGTGAACTAAGATATTATGACAAAATAAATAGAGAAATATAATACCTCATAACTAATTAGAAGGACTTACGCTATACACGACTGATGTTTTCTCGACATAGGTTCGAAATAATTAAAGGCTTTCACTCCGAGGCTGGTGCTAATGGAAGGATATATTTCGGACGCTAATGCACAAACAACCCCAATTATGTCAAAGGTAACGCTTTTTATTTATTTAGTTCTTTCAATATTACTTAAATGTAGAAGTTGTACATGAATTACACATACGTGAGACACCTTATTCTTCAATATCACATAGCAAAGTTAATTTAATAGTAAGCAAATAAATGACGTAATTACGTTCAAAAGGTGTAGGTTTTTAATAAAAGGCGTAAAAAAGAATTTGTTAGTTTAAGGAATTTAAATATCTACATACTAAGTAACCCTGGTTTTTCAGCACATATCATATAATTGTAGTCTATGTAAACAGTCTAAATAAAATAAAATACGGAAATATCATCGACCTTGCTAAAGTGGTTACTCAATTTAAATTTTGCTGAATATACGAAGATGTACAAATGTACAAATTATAACTCACTTGTGTATGCGGCTGTACATGTACGGTTAGGTGAGCGCGTAGTGCGAGGTGCAGTCGCAAAGTCAAGTGTCCGTGGGTATTTGCAGCTCGGCACGCCCAGCGACCGTCATCACTCAACTCAGCTCGCCGGATGCTAAGTGCGTCTGCTATTATGTTGTACCGCCCTGCACCTTCACCTTCACGGATTTCTCTTAAGGCTCCACCAGATGTCTCTCGGTACCACCTACAAAAGTATAAAAAAAAAAATATGTTTAGTTGAACTTAGGGGCCGTTCCAGTATTACGTAAGCAGATATCTGCAATTTATCCCCCCCCCCTCCTCTTGTCAGCAAATCTTTCAAAAATAATAGTAGGTACTTAAACGTAATAATTTTTTGTAGTAATCCTCGAAAATGCATTTCGTTTTCAAGCTTTATGCTTGTGTTGCAATGTGTGGGTAATATGTGTAAAAAAGCAAATAGTGACTGTTGACGTATTAATAATATATAATAATAATAATCACCAAATCAGAAAATCAAAGAATCCCTCCCCCCTATTGTGCTTACGTAATACTTGCATTCTCAAATTCAAATATTTATTGCATTCCTTATGTTCATATTTTACACGTGACACGTTATAATTTATTACAATAAGGACCTTGGTTAGGCACAGCAATGTTGTGAGAGGGCATGTTTTATTATAGTTTTTAACAAAAATTATTTATTTAATTTTTATTCTTATATCAAATATATTTTTATTTACACAAATACAGTATTTACAATGTTCTTAACCTATAAAGTAATAATAAAAATAATTAAAGAAGAAAGAAGAAAATCAAAACAAATTTAAAAAGTTTGGTCCCTGTGGCAGTGTACCTTTAACGCTGGCAACATTTCCTCGCTGTATTGCGAGACTTATTCTTTGAGCCAGGAAAGTGCCAGCTCTGTGGTTACCGGTACTATCTACCAGGCGCCAACTTAAATCTTTAATAAGCGCCTGTGCACTTGAACCCCACGGCCCAAGAGTCTCTACTCCAAAGGGAACAAAATTGAAGTTGGAGGAAAGACTCTTATATTTGTGCCGTTTGTTAATTTCTGCCTGTTCTGCGGCCGCGCCAGCTTTTTTGCTTGTCCGAAGGAGATGAGACGGGGCAAAGGTGTCTACACAGGTAGCATCCCATACTAAAGCCCGTTCCATTTTCCAAGGGATCAAAGACATTCCATCCGGCCGCTTGCCATCGTCTCTTGCGATGCCTGTTGGCTCCAAGATTGCTGGAACATTGACAGAGGCAAGAGAGCGGCGTATAATGTCGTTTAGCGCGGCATGGCGAGAAAAACGACCTGCACTCTTTTGGCAGTGTAGGCCATGGTGTCCAAGGCTACTTACTTCAAAACCACAGGGACACTTATGGGGAGTACATATGGGGACTCCTAAGCGGAGGCTGATGGCAATTCGAAGTGATTCAGGGTCTAAAAGGGTGCCAGTGTTTGGCGAAGGATAAGCATTAAGCCAATGTCCAGCTTCCCTAGACCCCACAGCCATCAACCTTGCACGGTCTGTTATTGGAATGTGACCTAATAACTTTATTATAGTTAATTATATTCTTATACATTTTTATTCTTATAAGATACATTATTTATTTGGTATATTTGCTTTGGTATCACGTTGCAAAAAGCAGACTGTACTTAACATTATTAATAAACTTCAAAGAATGTCATACAACTATTATATGTCCACTGAAACCATTATTTCTGTTGACGGAAACTAAGGGCTGATTTGGGTGTATTTTTTATTTTAAGTACCTAGCTGTGTTCTCGTATTTCGTTAAATTCGCTCAATTAACGATCTATTCAACTCGACTGTGTAAAGACCTTTTTAGCTTCTGCATGTATTACCTTATTTGTAATGACTTAAGTAGGCGTTAACTCTTAATAAATTTATTCATAATAGTCATAATATAATGAAACAAAGTTAATCTTAAAATTTAAACCTTAATTAAATCTCACGTTGAAAAATAAGCTGTGTAATTTTCTTTCAACACGCTATAATTTAAGGATTAGCTCGTCTTTACGCTGAGTGTTACCGGGAAAATTATGTATACAAAAACAACAAATTAAAAGTTGCTCTAGGTAAAATTAATTTTAATAAAATCCTCTAAATAGCAGCTAATATTTTACTGAATAGATAAAAAGGCTTTAGCTGCAGGTTCCATTAACATAATTGATATATTTTATAAAAACATGCATTTAATGTACATTCAATATGTAAGCAAAGAGTTTCATATATTTATTTACACTTTGTTGCTTTATGATATAAAAATTTAACAAAATTACAAGTAAAGGAAAGGCAACTGGCGCCCTTATCGCTTTCGAGCGATCTCTTCCAGGCAACCGTGAGAAAAGAAAAAAAAATTGTATTAAATTACATAAGGTACGCAAAAAGTGCAAAAAACATGTATTACATATAGTTGTAAAGAAAAAGAAACTTAACAGGAACAAAAAAATACAAACTAAACTAATAAAGGATACATTAAAAAAATATATAATAATAGTAATAAAAAGTGCACATGAATCATTATAATTTAATTTAAGCATTTAATGTAAGATCAGTCTCACGTCAGTTAGTAGGTATTATTATATATCATCAAGACCTCTATAAAAATATTACAACCGTACAGCGCTTTATCATGTGACACGATCACATCAAAATTCAAAAATCAGTTAATCATATGGGTAACACATTGTACACTTATGACTCGTCAGTAAAGAAATACATATTAATGCTTCTAATTTTACATTTAGTGCCAGTTCTCAAATCAAGGGCGTAGAACGGAGGAGAAGAACTGGCAATAAACTCTCCGCCACTGTTTTTAATCGCCATTTTTTTTTACACAACGTTTGTAAGTAGCTGCAACCATTACACCATGTTATGTCTGTATCTTTTACTTACACTAAAAGTTAAAAGAATTTGATACCTAATTCATGTTACTTGACTAGAAATAGTCACTGTACTAGCACTGAATATGGAATAAATAAAATATTAGATATTTGCGATATAAGGAGATTTTTTACTGTATAACTTATCACAAAGCAAGTGGCTCTCTGACAGCAGACGCTTGGACATCCAAAAACAAAGTAGCCACGATATCGCCAACCTTCGAATGGATTATGAAAAAAAAATGAAGAAAAAATATTACCATAATTTTTAAATACTAAGAATAAAAGTAGTTGACTTTATTCGGTGCAGAATCTCTCAAGATCGTTTCAAAAGTCAATTTGCACTGATATCCAGTGAATTTCTATTTAAGTGTAAGGTAATAAACCAAAGAGAAAATTAAATAAACACAATAAAGTAAATATATTGCAGTCAACAAAACGCCACCCACGTACCTGCATCGCATATATGGAATTTACGCTACTCAATGCGCTCAGTCACGTTTTGGAAACCACTAAATAGAATGTGTTTTTGTTACTCAAATTCGTATTTTGTAGCCCAATTGAAAATTTATTAGATTGCACTCTGTTTTGTTCACAAAATCAATGCTTCAATATTGTCAATACATTTGCATTCGAATTTGAATTTATGATGGACTAAATACTGGACTTAACAGTATGGAGAAGTATTTGTCCAATGCAATCAGAATATAAATTAATTTATTACACGTAAAATTATCTCAATATTCGTGTGTAAAAACTAAATTCGCCTAAATGTAGTAGCAGGGTAACTTATTTTTTGTCTAAATGTTTGTTAACAATGAGCAGTATGAGCAAAATGTGTGTGTCAGGCAGATAAAAAACATACAGAAATCTGAGGCCCAAAAAGGTTTTACTGATTTTTTCTGTGAGTTAACTATATTTTTTGTATATCATCATTACTGACATTACTAATTATATATATCATTACTAGATAAAAATCAATTTATAAAGCTAAAAAGTGCAGTGTGCCTAATTAAAAAAAAAACTTCAAACAAAGTATTTTAAATCAGTTGTAAGTTGAGCCTTATATATCGTAGCGTATTAGAAATAGTTTAATTGACAATAAATAAATAGGAGGAGTCTGTAACTAAGAAGAATAGGACGCTATAAAAGTTAGTAAAATATCCGAAAATTACATGTCTTAAAAACATGTGAACCGTGTTTGTTAAAAAATGGTTAATAAATACGACACTATCGTTAATCTGCGTTTCATAATAGCCGTGACAGTGTTAAAACGGAGATCTTACCAATCAACCTCTTAGGAATTCAAACCAGCGATTACGAAATAATTTTGTTACATAAATATAACCTCACGAGCCTACGACTCACGCGCCAACACCATTGTGGCCTAATGAGTTGGAAGCCGAGTGGCAAAAACCTCCCTCGTTTGTCTACATTTGCACTTTTTACTTCACGTCTCTAGGGATACAGTGAGAGTAATGTTTAGAAGAAATATATTTTTGGTAACTGTAATATTAAACAAACTGTATATAAAACAAAGTCTCGCTCTCTGTCCCTATATCCCTATGTATGCTTAAATCTTTAAAACTACGCAACGGATTTTTATGCGTTTTTTTAAAGAGACAGAGTGATTCAAGAGGAAGGTTTATATGTATAATAACAACCATTAAAGAGTGGAGAAATACTGTTATTTTTGAGGTTTCTAATGTGATGTCGTAAATAATTAATTTTTTTTCCGCTTACGCGGCGGGAGCGTGCCTGTACATAGCGCGTCGGAGGCCGCGGTTCTCCCTATAGCACTTTGAATTTAGTATCAGCATTGCACCCGTGCGAAACCGGGGCGGTCGGGTAATCTATAACATTATGGCCAATCAATTAATTTACTTCTTATCTTAATCTGATAAACAATTGACTAATACAAGTATAATTGGCGCCAAAATTGAAATAGCCACAGACATTACAGTTTCGATATTAAAATTATTTTTTAATAGTCTGTGTGGACTTACTATAGAATCGAATGTCGTTAGAAATTTAAACATTTCGATACGTGATATAGTTATACTATTTACCATTTAAATAAATTCCTTACAATAACGTATATTTCACATTACATTTAGTTAAAGATATTTTCAAAATCGTTTCAGCAAATAACGTCAATATTTGGCTCGAACGCCCAAGGCGCCAAATATCTAGTGTTGATGGCTATGCCCCGGGATCACGTTACTTTTTATCGGTAACCTAATGTAATGAGGAATATTTTGGTAGATATATCATGTAGGGTCTGAGTCAAAATGGCAGATTACTTATATTATAGAAGTGTATAAAGGGTAAGAATTTTCTTAGTGAAGTAGTTTTATTTTATATAGCTTTTAATAAATCTTGTATGTACATGGGATCATGGTCAAAACTATGGTCCGTGTATATGATAGTTCCTACTTTAAATAAGGGTTTATTGCTATGTGTTCACGGATATTTTTTTGTGTGATAGAGCCAATAATTATAAAAAAAAATATTTTCGTTATTACTTTGACGTCAATACCGGTAAATTTTCAGTGTGAAAGTTCCAATAAGTATTGTAAATCTCTGCAATAACAGATAAATTACTTTAACAAAATTTAATTAAAAAATCTAAAGAAGTCGATGTCGGCATTATTATAGTAAGACAGATTGAAAATGTATAATTTTTCTGATGATCTATTTTTAAGCACAACGTTAAGAAACTCAAAAGATACGATACAATTAATGCTTTTTGAACTGACTTTAAATATATATTTATTTTAGTATAAATAAATTCTGAAAATGTCTAGTAAAATTGTACTTATTACAAATAAAAATATATGAATACGCCAAAAATACTATCATTGAATAAATGCTTAGAGCATAACATTTTCCGATGAGTAGACTCACCGCGGGCTCCGAAATATGATATTTCTTATCAAATTGACAATTGACATGGATCAAAATGGAATATTCTTCAGCTATCAAATAACGTGACCAGGCTTTTTTGAAATTCAATTTTATATATGATAATAATCATGAACCTCAGTATTTTTATTAAAGGTCCAATACCTAATTAAAATTATTCAATAACGCGTTATAGATACAATGTAATGTACGATTGCGCATTTAGCTTAACTTTTATTCAAAGAGATGGTGACGCGTGTCTGTGACTGGACTGAAGAGTCTCTGAAAAATTTAAAGCCATTTTCTTCTTTTACTACCCCATTATTTCAAATATTTAATATTAAAACTGGAGGCAAATATAAGTTTTGAAACCATTTAAATTTAATGAAATAACTTCGTTCGAAACTTTTATGAAAAAAAATTACTTATTAGTTTCTTACAGAGGTGTATGTACAGTTTGAAGTTTATAATTATTGTCATGTATATTCAATTGTCAAGATTTTCTGCTTATTTAAATTAAGGGTCAGAATGTACGGATAAGTTCTACATAAGTTCCAAATTAGCTACTTATTACTTATTGGTAGGATAAACACTATGGTTGCGTTTCACGACTGTCAGATAGCGCTATTCGTCACATAAAGTCCATTATAAGTAATGGGTCGAATGAATGTCAAATAGCACAATTTATCTTCCAAATAATTTATGTGTTGCATAGCTATTTCGTACTTTATCCATACATTGTGAAACAGACTCTAAAACAGTCATAGTAACTCCTTAATTATCATTTCTCATATCTAAGACACTAAGACACGATAACAACTCTTAGCAGCGATACATTCATGAATTAATACGTTTTTATTTAACTGACAGTTAGTAATAAAATCTATATTTCTGGTCGCGTTCGCAATACTAATACGATGAATAGACTTCGATTTCAAATGGGATTTCATTATAAATTCAGTTTGAACTAGTTGATAGACGACATACGAAAGTCACGATGTTCGCGCACCAATTTCTGTGACCCTAATTGTGTATTCAAATCGTGTCTCGTTGTATTTGCTCAACGTAAATATTACCCAGCTTTTTAGTTTATTTATATCCGCATTTATTAAACATTTTAAGCATTAAATGCATTGGAGCCTAAACAATTTAACAAGGAATTAATCATTTACCAGTCCGTCTAAATTTGACACCGCAACATTCAAACTTCATGGCTATGGTAATTTTGCAACTAAAAGTGTTAAGTGAGCGTTACTGAATACCGTTAATTGTTGTAATTTTTAATTACTAGTAGGTAAGTTTGCTTGTTTGTGGGCACTCGTCGTTAATTTTTAAGTCTAAGAAATGTAGTTTTTTTTTAAAGTAACAGGAGGCAAACGGACAGGAGGTTCACTTGATGTTAAGTGACACCGCCACTCATGGACACTCACATTGCTAGAAGGCTCGCAAGTGCGTTGGCGGCCTTATAAGAATTGGTACGCTCTTTTCTTGAAGGACCCTACGTCGAATCGCTTCGGAAATACTTCAGTGGGCAGCTGGTTCCACATAGTGGTGGTGCGCGGCAAAAACTGCCTTAAGAAACGCTAAGTTATGGAACGACGTCGAGTTGATACGGATGTCAATTGAATTGAATTCAAGATTATTTAGGCGAAAGCCGTACTCATAATCGCTAATCAGCTGGTGGCCCTCTAGATACCTCAGGAGCTGGCCGTTTATAATGGTTTCCATTTATTTGGAGAACAAGGAGGTTATAGCTATTGGGCGATAGTTGGATGGATCAGAACGATAGCCTTTTTAAGGGATCGGATGTATTGAAGCGGTCTTAAACGGAAACGGTTTGCCTTCAACGAAAAAATTAAAACTCCTTTAGTGTACAGCCAGGATGACTTATTATTTATGGGGCTATCTATGGAATTTGACTTATTATTTATGGGGCTATCTATGAAAACTGTAGTTTAGTACATTGAATTCGATTCATTAAAGTATCTACTACATATACGATGTTTGTTAAATATGTAAATTAATAACTAACACGAACCTTCTAATTAATATGTATGTAACATAAATTAATCTCGGCTATACAAACTGAGGTCGTAATCAAAATATGGGAACATAGTTATTAATTACATGTTTTTACTAATAGTATGAACTTAGACATTTTTTTACTAAAAATTTTAAAGATGCCGAGTGGCTATGCAAAAAACGTAGGCTCAGATTTCCATAAAAGTTTCCTTGAACGAAACTTTTCTACATAAGGCAGTATCTTCAGCATATCGGAAGGTATTAAATATCGAAGTTGGAACACACGACTTTAATATTAAGAAGCACTTAGCCTTAGATTCTCTACTAGGTTTTATATCAATCTAGTGATTCAGCGCGAAGTCCAGAAGGTTGTTGTTTGCATTCCATCGCCTATTGAACTTTCTTTTTTATTATTAATTTAACCGGTAAAGGAAAACACAAATTTGAGCCATAAATAAAAATAAAAAGATTTTATCTTTATAAATTAAAGACAACATCTACATTTTGTTTGAAAACCCGTACCAAAGCGACATTTGCAACGAAGCATGTGACGCACGGTACGTTGCCTTTGGAGCGCCTCCAAGCGTCACGGCAACTTATAGCTGATTGTGCCTCTCTTGTATAATCCTAAGACTTATTACATCTAACTTTATACCTTTAATGTTTTAAAACAACCTTAATAAAATGACCTTCATGGATACAAATTTAAATAGAGCCGTACTCCAAAGTCTGGAATTTCATTATCAATAAGCGTATCCTTACCTATTTCTTAAAGTATATTTAAAAGACCGTACAACTTAAGTGCAGTTATTATTATATTTGGACTTATGATAAACTTAACCTAACTCTTAATAAAAGTAGGCACATTATTTATATAAATAAATAAAACAAACACATTAAAAATGTTACACAATTATAGTAATGTTTCAGTTAATGCATTGTAAAGTAATAGATTGATTTTCTTTTATTTGATGGAATCAGCAGACATAAAAATGAGCTAACGCGCGGACATTCTTGTTAGTGGGTAGGACGCCGGCCTTTTAGATGGTGTTTTTTAAATTTTCTGAATGGCAAATCTACAGCTCGCTAGTACGCATAAGAAAATGCCTAAAGAAGTGTGCTATGAAAGACTTCCAGCCAGGTGGTGCAGATAAAACCTCAACATTTCGGTTCGTGCAGTAATGAAATGAGGCAGCAGAAATCAAACAATTCTTCACAACAATCTCCATAGTACGCGTAAAAAACGCATAGTGACGCAACGCTTTAAGAAAGAGAATCAAGTTAAAACCCTTGGTAGTCTCTTGTTAGACTAATATTATAAAGAGGTAACGTTTGTTAGTTTCGGTTTACGGGTTACGGTTACCCGCGCGAATCCGTAGCAGTAGTTGCCAATCACTAAAATCGATTCCATACAAATATTAAAGCAACTAAATATTCAAATTTCAAATCATTTTCTACCAGCCAATACCGTTTACTATTCTTGTAATAGTATTATCTTTAGTAGTTCCAGAACAAAAACTAATTAAGCCGCTAAAGAGCACTTCAGTCTCAACATAGTAGATTTTATATTTCTGTTTTAATTTTCTTAATGGTTTCCGCACCCACTTCTTGTTTCTTTATCTTTTTGTTTTGAAAGTGTCTGAGTTTTCATTGAAATGAAAAATATTTTAATGAAAAGAATTTAGTGTGTTAATAGTTCAAAGAGTGTTTTGCTTATTTAACACCAATTCAAATAAATGTTAATTTATGGTTTAAGATTGTCTTACCTATATATTATCATTTTATATTTTATATCTAATTTTGTTTGTATTGCTGAGTTTTAAAAAATACTGGTGCGAATTGAAAAATTATTGTGTATTGTAATCGAGCAAAGCTTTAGGTATTACGCTAAATAAATATTAGCGCGAGTGGTACCAGAGGGCATAGCTAGATGAAAAATTGACTTACATGAGTAAAAATATACTCTCTTATTCTCATAAATAGTGTTATTGCAATATTTTAACTAAATAACTTTTTTGTCTCTTTCTATATAATTGTATAAAGGACAGATCCGTGCTTTTGTCAAACGGTGTAATGAAACTGATTAAGTTTTTATAAATAAGCAAAACAAATAACAAAAAAAAATGAGTTTTAAGAAAAAAATGAAGGTATTTCATACAGTACGGTGTCATACTGAAATACCTTCATTTTTTTTTCTACGATACTATAATTATAATTTGTGTACATTAAAGATTTTTTAATAAATAATGTTAAGTTAAAAGACGAGTAATAAACATGAGAAGAAATGTAATTGTGGAAAATCTAGTTGAAAATAGAAAAGCAGAGGAAACTTGAGTGGATGTAGGAGGTAATGAGAAGCCCCTTACTTCTATTTCCGGTCTACGTTCAGCGAACTAAGGACGTATTTCATAAAAAAATTTACATATACGATTTTACCTAACTTATGTAAGGACCGTTTTGATTTATTAAAAAAATCCTATTATTACTAAAAATATTGTAAATTATATGATAAAAACATTCTGCAATAACAATTTGAATTTTTAGTTATCTTGTACTAATATCAAAATTTTGTACTAATATCTAAATCTATACAAGATTTAACATATTAGTACAAAATTTTGTAAAACTATTATCAGACTTTTTTACATAATATTTTGACCCATGGGGTTAGATTTAGAGTCGAGACTTATCATGACCTGGATGTCTAAATCCAGTATGGTTCTGGAGTTAAATTTACGCCAAATCTCGAATCTTACACAGTCTTAAAATGTCTCAAACCATTATTTAAATAATGGGTTAATAATTAATTATTCTCTAAGAGATATGACCTCCAAATTTAAAAGAGCATAAACCTCCCTAAAATGCCGGCAACGTATCCACTAACATGACTGTCCATGGGCTGCGTTAGCTGCCTTTTAGTTATATTCTGTAGGCTCATTTTCCCGTTAATCAAATAAAAAAATACCTATTACTTTACAATACATTAACATAAACATATCTTCTATACTTGTGTTACTTCTCAAACCAT